ATTAAAAGGACATTGTTTTTGTAATAATTGTTTGTTTTGTAAACATTTTTTGAAGACATTACAGTTTTGAACGGGCTGTGCGATATAAACAAGGATCTTACTATTATTTGAGGTTAGAAAGTATTTATATAATATAAAACATAATCAAAATCATTTTTCATCATAAATTATAGAGGTACTTACGTGTTTTGATATTATTATCAGGAAATAATACGTTTAGTTAAACAGGTACGCTGCCAGGCAAGTTCTATCGACGGGTCTTTGCAAAAGTTGAAATCTAAAAATACAAAAATACGTTTACATCTTAGTTGTATTTACCAATAAAGTATTTGTGTGTAATTACTGACTTACCGGTTAACTGAATAATCGCATTAAATACATCCAAATGGTAATTTAATATTGTAAAAAAGCAAAATTGTTTTAAATCACTTGCCAGGACAGCCCGGCCAGCTTCTTTGTTGGCCAAAATGGCCGCGGTATCATGATTTAAGCAATGTGAGTGACAAAGAAAACCAATGCTTGGCAGATGTTGCTTTCTTTGTCGTTGGTCCTGGCACGTTTAAATTTGACTGTTGCCTGTTTTCCCATACAAGTGACACCCCCGTGATTTAAACTAAAAATTCGAAAGTGTTCAAACGAATGACAATGTCAGGAAATAAATAAATAAATGTGGCTTGAAACTTGACATTTTTTTACAGCAGAGCTACCACCTGAAACCCTAGCGCGAAATTTAAATTCCATTTAGTCAGTCTGGCGCCAAATATGTCCATTTTTGTTGCCAAAAATTTTTTTACGTAACTGAAATTTTAATTGGTATCAAATATAGATTGAAAACCCTGTATACTAGATAATAATCTAAATTTAATGTCAATCATACACGTGTCTCCGGCACGTCAATAACGCGTCACGTCCACTGCAACGCGCTCATCAAACTTTAACAATGGGCCGTAAAATTAAATTCGCATCTTTAAAAATTCATCCCATCCCCACCGGTCTTTTGACCTAATTCCAATTACGTTTTACTATTTTTAGTTGGTGGGTTTTATATAATTCACGAGCCAGTGGCGTGCGGAGGGCTGCGATTGACAGGAGGACGCGTTTTCGAATTAGCGAGAATTTCGCAACCGCGTATCATATGTCAAAACGCACCCGAGCGCGCTTGTTAATGACTATTTTAAAATTAGTTATATTAAAACGATTTATTTAATTTGTTTCTGTTTTGTTTCAGTGTGTAATTAATTCTTCATGCATATATTTTATAGCATATACACTAATTTTAGTTTTTAAAATGAAATATAGTCCTGCCAACATAAATAAACCGATACTCTGATCTATCCAAATTTACTGAAAAAAACTAACTGATGCTTGTAGCTTTGTAGATTGTAAGTCGAGTCGCATCTTCGTTATGCCCTTCCATTCTGGGGTACTTGCTGCGCGACAAAATTTGATCGTACTTTCAAACTTCAAAAGAGAGCAGTTCGATATTTATTGGGACTGAACAGTAGAACATCAAAATACTGACTATTCCTTCTTTATTCATTTTTGAATCCGTTTGCTTAATCCGCAAGCACATATCTGCTATTCCCGAAAGACCACCTCACAACTATCCACTTAGGAATGCGGAGCACAATCTTTATCTGCCAAGCACAAGCTCAGAACTAGTTAAAAAAAATGTACAATTATCTGCCTTTCGATATTGTAACGTTTTTAGTTCGTTACATGTTTTTTTTACATATAATATATGATGTCTGGCCTATCGTCACCGGATTGCCTCTCGTTCAGACCTGATAATTTTGTTGGCACGCTTGGCGTAATTTTTACGTTCCCTAGTCGCCAACCCTGCTATTGTTTCATTATTCTATGGAGGCGCGCGCTGTCAACATCGCTTCTGTCAACTCTCTGTGATTTAACGGCACTTTTGGTTTGACCGTTTGGCCTGTCAGACGCCATTAGTCCCAGTTTTTAGAAATGGTAATTATTTAAATCTTGCTGTATAATCTGAATCGGCTGCTATTTCGAGGCTACAGGTAAAGATGAGTTATTACCTTTTATAGATTCGATATTATTATTGAATATTTTTAGGGTAGAGTTACGGATGTCCCAACTCGTATTTGTATTTTGCTGGCACGTTGGCGTCCCTTTTCTTTTGTCCTCCAGAATGTCACATGGAAGAAAGGACAGGTTGTTTATTATTTATTGAGCCCTCGGAAGTATTTCCAGGTAGGTTTATTTTGTTTATTAGACCTTGTTTGGTTTTAAACAAGAGTTTCATATTTTTAGGGTCCAAGGTACGGGTAGTGTCTTATGTACGGATGTCCTGTGGACGAGTGTCCCCAGTAAGAATAATTTTTTCTTACATATAAGTGCCACAGCGTGGATGTAGCTTGAGTCCCATGCTGCTTCGTTCCTAGCTATAAGCTAGTTAGTTACGGCTGTATCAATTCATGGTGTCCTCATTCTGGCCCCTTTGGTTGTGTTGGATGGCTGAGTACAGAGATGCGAGACCACCTCACGCTGTTACTGTTCAAAGCAAGATCACATAAAGAACAGCTAAGTGTAGATTTAAGTTCTAGTTTTACATTTAACATTTAAAACATTTACAGTCTTAAACAATAACGTACATCTTAAATAATATCGTACAGACTATGTTTAGTGGTTAGATTGTTAAGAACATTCATGTCGATTTAATATTTAATATAATAATTAACACTAAATATAATTTAGATCTTAGGTTTCATTGCATTACATCTTGTAATGGTATTACTTTTATAGATATTATTATTGCACTATTTTAACAGACGAATAACCAAACATAGATTCTAGAATCTACAGGTTGCCACATCTTCGATTTAGCATCATATGGAACATATCAAATTAATTAAAGTAACGCTACATTTCATATATTCTCTTAAACTTTACATGTCTTGTATTTTATCGTAGTTGTTTTCATTGATATTTAGTACGACTCTTACCACCACTTTCTTTGACATATAACCACTATATATTTATTAGAACTCTACAATGGCATGTACCATCTAAGAACATCATGAATAAATATAGTCATTAGTTTTAAGTAATATGCAACTGTGTTTTCTTTCTCTGTACATGCCTGGCGCCCAATATTTATAATTTCGAGTTATTATTGTTAATTAGTTTCTTTCCAGTGAAATACCTTATCCACGACTGCTCTACCAACGAAAAGCTGCCGTTCGCAGTGATAATGTTTTAAAAAAACGCTACAATATCAAGTCGCTTTCATTCATTCCCGCATTTCGCAAAGCTCTGGAATCATACTTACTATAGAGAGCGCTATATGCGGATTTTAATATTTTACGGTCAAAGTTGTAAAACTAGCATCTTGTTCCTGGAGGAAACTTTAGAGTAGTTTTATGGTCCTAGTTTGCTTGTTTTTTCACTTTCAATTTTTATACCGCTACTTGGAAAACCTCTTTCGTCTAACTTTTCCGCAAAACAAGCTTAAAAGTTCATTTTTTAATAGTTATGTTTTTTGAAATTCAAAAATAAAAGAAATGAAGTGTCTGTTTAAAATTTAGATAATATTTTCTTTGTCAGAAATATATGATGCTTGGTTCTCAATAAAAAATAGGTATTGTAACTTTTATATATCCTTGTTTACTATCTTATTCGATGGTCAAGTAGCATTAACAGTGACTTTAACTTTGTTTTTTTTGACTTTGGGCAATTATGAAAAAGTTTTGTTGGGAGTACCCAACAAATTTCTTACAGTGTGTAAAAGCCTCCATAACAACAACAAGTCAAGAGTGTCATATTATGGATCACTGAGCGATCCCTTCCTAACAAATACAGGAGTTGTGTCTTAGCGCCTCTCCTATTCAACATATTCATGGCAGCGCTCTCCATTATAGTGGACAGCAAACTGCAGGAGAGTGGATTGGGTATTAGATAGAAATACGACGGCGGTCTGTTGAACATAAAAAAACTCAGGGCAAAAACACGTACAAAATTCCTCACAGAACTTCAATACTCTAATGACTGCACTCTAATTGCAAACACATTACAACATTTACAAGAAATGTTGGACACATATACCTGGGCATGCGAAGCTTTTGGCCTTAAGCTAAACATCGACAAAACCAAAATCAGGTGCACTCCCCCGGAAGATCACAACAATGCTATAAAAATCGGAGAGGAGCTATTGGAGTATGTAGCGCAATTCAATTACCTCGGCAGTTTGATTTCGGAAAAGGCCAATATCGACTCTGAAATTCAGCACAGGATTAGCAGCGCCTCAAGAGCATTCTGAAAGTTAAAAGATAGGATTTTCTACAATCATGACTTGAGTACAAAAACAAAATTTGCAGTGCACCGAGCAATTATAATCCCCACCGTGATATATGGGAGCGAAATCTGGGTGCCGCGCCGTACCGCCGACCCATGAAGGCATTAAACAAGTTGCAACAGAGACACCTTAGACAACTCTTAAGAATCCGATGGTTCCATCGTGTTTCAAACGTATCGGTCCTTAAAAAACTAACTGCGAGAGTATTGAAGTCATGGTTACAAAATCCCGCTTAAGATGGGCTGGTCACGTATGCAGAATGCAAGAAAATCGTCAGCGAGTAATGGCAGTATGTATGTATGTATGTAGTATTAACAGTGATATTCAATATAACTAGAATTAAACAAAGAATAATATGAAAATTTGAAATATTTGTATTTTTTTCATGTATTTTTCTTATACATATTCACTTATTAAGGAATCGCCACTGATTTCTGAACGTCTAAATAAAAAAACAACTAAAATTAAATCAACAGTATATCATGAATATTTAACAATCTCTAGAATATATATAATGCTGATTGTAATTGACGCAAATAAAACCTAAATTTGATTTGGAGTTTATGATTCCTAAATTCACCAAACACCAATTCATATGTCTTTGTCAACTGGAAGTAGTAACATCTTTCTTTCTTGCTGTTGTTATATTAGTATTATTCTCTTCGAAAAAATAGTTGATGGGTTGCAATACAAGTATGTCAGAAGTATCGCCTCTACGTAAACCACAAATTATTTTTGATGATTTGACGTCGAATATGGTAAGAAGATAGTAAAAATAATTAAATTGTATTTAAAAATAAATGAGTTATTTCGTTTTGAGTTAAAAAAATATTTCAAACAATTTTTTATAATTATTTTCACAACTTGTAATGTTATGAAAGGCATTTTATCTTTTTTTTTTTCTTTTTTATTACAAATAAATAAATTGAAACATTGATTTAATATACAGGGTGTCCCAGAAATAAGTGCAAGTATGTTAACTGGTAGTATAGTTCAACCTCAGAAACACGTCTATGGGTTTTTTTTCGCGAAAAAAATATTTTGAAAATTCGGAATTTTTGTAAAAATTTTTTTTCTTTATTTAAAAAAAATAATTTCTTGATAATATGGCAACATAAGTAGTAGATTAAATTTACAAGAAAGAAAATCCAGAAAAGATCCAGTGGTTCTCAAAATTTTAACAAAAAATCATTTTTTTTTTTTTTGAAAAATAACTCCGTTATTTTGGACTTATTTGAAAAACGATAGAGAGAAAATACCTTTCTTTTATCGAGATCTACCACCCCTTAAAATACTTGCACTTATTTCTGGGACACCCTGTATATACCGTGATTTTAATAATGACACTATGAAGTTTTTAACTATATTGTTAATGTAAGGAAAAATATGGATATTTAAAAAATAACAGAAACTATTGAATGATTTAATTCATTTCTAAATAAGCTTTTCTTCATAACATTTATTGGACAATATTTAGTATACTGATAAAAATCTATTTTATTAAGTTTTCAGAAATGTATTAATTAAAATCAATTAAATTTAAATAAAATAAAACCGTTGCATTTTAGATACTTCGATTCATTTTATGAAACCCAGAAACCCTTATCTTCATATTATATCATATACAGGGTGACTATTAAATAAGTGCAAGTATTTTTAGAGGTATCACACGTTTATGAAGTTTTTTCGCGAAAAAATATCGATTTTTTTAAGATCGGAATCAGGTTTTTAATTAATGATTGGCATAATTCTTTTTTAAAACAAAATATTTTATTTACATAAAACTATAAATCTTTTTAAATAGTCTCAATAAAAATACATATTTTTTTTTAATCTATTTAAAAAATATATTTAATCTAATTTTTGATAATGCCAGCCTATAAAAAATAATGTATAAGGTCTATCCGACAAAATTTAGAAGCGATAGTTATTTCAGTGGCTATCATGACACATTTTTTGGATTATATACTATAATTTGTGTAATAAATTTTTAATTATGATTGACAATTAAGACAAAACTAATTTTGTGGTATTACGTAATTGAAATTTGGTTTAACTACAATTAGAGTGATTTTTTTCTAAATTTAATGAGCATTGTAATTAGGTCTGCTGCTAGTAATTGTAAACTTAATTAACTTTATGGCTAATAGCATTAGTAATTTTCCAAAAACACCTGTTTTAATGCCCCTTGATAAATGGCTTTTAGTTCAGACGTATACATACATAAACTATGAAATAAATTTTGGTCTAGTTATATAAGCCGATCGATATGTGTGTTACGTTGCGTTGATTGGTTTTGTTTGTTGTTGCATTGCTTTATTATTGAAGTAACGCTTACAAATGAAATTTGTTATTTTATTTGGGGTAATGATTAATAGGAATTTATATTTAAGCATAGACATAATAAAGATATACATACTAATGTAAATAATTGCGTACCTATAACGTGCTATACCTCTATGGTGGATCCGTTTCTTTAAAAAAGTACCGTATGATCGAAAAAAACTTTTGATGACTATGAAATGAAGATCGCTATCATTTTATATCTAAAATTATATGGAAAATATCATCGATCATCATTTCCAAGCTAACTGGACTCCGTTTTTTTCGATCATACGGTATGTTTTTCCCTACTGAAGAACAGAAAGTCAAGATTTTTTTTAAACAAGATATTTTCTTTGTTTTTTTTTACTTCTGAAGATGAGAGGAAGGGATTCACCTCCTGAAACGTTAAGCATGTTTTGACAATTATTAGGCAAATTTATTTTACTAGCGTCGTTATTTTATATCTGTTACTAGCATCTACCAGCGACTTCGTTCGCGTCGAATTAATAATTTGTAATGTTGTTGATAAAGCAAAGCAAGAATTTCCATTAACATACAAACTGGATAAAATTTTCTCACATTTATGTCAGCATGAGAAAAAACCATATGGCGATATTATTATATAACTTGGTAATATTTGAGGGGTAGTTTCATCTCGTTGGAATTTGACTTTCGAAAAATCCGTTTGCCAAAAATAAGCTTTTTACGTCAAGCAGTTTAAGCAGAATCGTGATTGCTCAATGGTCATATTTTATGAAACACCCTGTATAAATTTATAAAAAATCTTAAAATATGTAAAACAACAAAATAAAATATACGTGTTTAAGAGTTTTTCCGAAAAACTCACCGGTTTTTAAATAAAAATATTTTAATATTTGAGGGATAGTTTCACCCCCTTAAAATTCGAGTTTCGAAAAATCAATTCTGTCTAACCTCTACACGCTAAAGTCAATCTGTTTTCCAAAAATCAGCTTTTTACGTCAAGCGCTTTAAGCAGGTTCATGATTAATCAATGACCAGATTTTTCGAAACACCCTGTATACATTTTTAAAAAAAATTAAATATACGTGTTTAAGGGTTTTCTCGGAAACTTGACCGTTTTTTAAATAAAAAATATTGTAATATTTGAGTGGTGGTTTCACCATCTTGAAACTGGAATTTCGAAAAATCCCTTCTAATCGAACCTCTACACCCTAGAATCAACCTGTATGCCAAAATTGAACTTCTTACGTAGAGTGGTTTGAGCAGGATCGTGATTAATTAGTATGTCAGTCACTTAAGGATTTTATAGTATAGATTTATAGTATAAAATATTAGTATAGATTTTTAGAAGTAACAACGGTTGCTTTATGTTATTTCTAAATAACTTTGTTGGTTAACGATATAAAATAACATAATAGTTAAATAACGAGAACTACCTCTAGTCTGACGTTGATGGCCCGCTGACACAATGGTACCCCCGGTGTTTTGTTGCTTTATTCGATAGAAAACTCTGGATTGAATGATATATCACATGTCAACTTTTGACATTTTCGAATATGGTTTACATGCGATTTTCATAACGACAATCTGACTCGAAATACCAAGTGTGCGGTACCAATTTATTCGTAAAAAATGCTTTTTCCAAATATGCTAATGAACCACCTTCGTTCCATTTGAAAAAATTAAGATATGATTAAAAACACTATTTGCGCATTTTTTAACAGGCCAGGATAAGACACGAATAACATTAGACGATGAAATTTATTTTTCCAAGGCTCCTTGATTAAAAATTAGTGTCTTTAACACAGCCATGGCACTGTAAATTGAAATTGAAAATTCAATTTTGTTTTAAGCTAAACATCATAAGTTGACATATGATAGGTCATTCTATTCAGAGTGTCATTTTCTATCGAGTAAAGTAAAAAAATACCGAGGGTGCAATTTAAAAATCAAAAGTTGTAGTCATTTCCGGTGAAACAGGAAGTGGCCGAAAAGAATTGAATATGCGAATCAGTCATACTTTATGTCATATACTAATATACCAAATCTCGTTTTTTTATCTGATAAAATAAAAAAGTTATAGGGGTGGGCCAGTTTTGAGACGCACTTGGATAAAAATTATTATTAGGAAAATCTTAAATACAAATCAGAATTATTATTAATTGTATGCCGATCGAAAATTATGTTACTCTCCTGTATATTAAAGTTTCTTCGATGTGAAATTTCCTTTTTCAGCGATTCCTCAATAACGGATCGACGGAAAGAAGAAGTTTTAACATCGCTGGTAAAGTGGCGCTGATAACTGGCGGAGTTTCGGGCCTCGGCCTCAGTTTCGCCAAGGATTTACTAAAACACCAACTGAGGGTAAGGAGTTCTAATTTGAATTTTCTGTTACTACCAGTGTCGGGTCTTGTGCCTTAAGTAAGGTGCTCACTGAAAAAAAATGTCAGAAATACAACATCATGGACTGACATTGATTTTAATGTTCTATCACTATTTTATATTAGAATGTAGAATGTACCATTGCGATAAAAAAAAAGTAGTACCAGAATTGGTAGTCCCAGATAGAACTCCTGCTCTATAAGGATATTTGAATTATATTGAATTTTGAATTTAGAAAACAACACTGTTTTTTGTTTATCCCTAATGCATCTGCAATGTCCCTTATGGGAACCCCATCCCTTAATCGCGTAAATACAATCGATTTTTGCTCTGAGGCATTTTTTAAAAATTACGTGACACTGACACAAGAATATAGACCAGCAGATTAAATCATATTTTGTTGTACTACTTTTTTTTATCGCAATGGGGGGTTGTGTCTCCCTTTCTTAAGTTACAACTTATACCAGGTCTCTAACAAACTCAGGGCTTTGACAAAAGCCAGTATCTGAGACGGTATTACAGAAGTTAATAATTCTACATCTCCGATATCAATAACACCAAAATTTATCTCACGAATAGTTGTCGTCTCGGCGCACTCAGTGATAAGATGTTCTGATGTTTCCCAATTTTCCCCAAAGAATATGCATTCGCCGTTGTTTTTTAGCTTCAATTTACAGAGGTGTTCATTGAGGAGGCCAATGTTTTGTTAAAAACCCCGTGATAATCTGAAGATTGTTCTTACTTAAATCGAGAAAAATATTTTATTTTTCTCGGTTCTAAGTCCTGAGGAATATCTTCGAGTATTAGAGGATACGGATAGAGTTCCAGGTTACAGATAGAGTCTTCCAGGGATTCAGAAGGTACCAGGGTAAATGCCTTCTTGTTGTTTTTATTTTTCAGGTTTTGTTCTTGTTAGGAGCTAAAAGAAGCCATTAGACCATTAAAGAAAGGTAAGGTCTCTGGCCACGACAATTTACCTGCAGAATTACTCCAAATTGATATCAGCCTACTCACTGCCTTACTTCATCCTCTTCTGGAGTATTCATGGACCTCTGAGAATATCATTAACGACTGGAACGATGGCCTCATAATTAAGATCCCAAAGAAAGGCCTGTCGAAATGTCAAAATTGGAGAGGCCTAATCCTTACTAGGATCATCCTTGAAAAGTTATCGAAAGATATAGAACCTCATTTTCGTCCAGAACAAGCAGGATTTATGCCAACATAATGCTCAATAATATTTGGAGACCTAGAGAGTACTGTCAACTTACTAAACTTATTTATTAAGTCTGATCTCTTCTGATGTTTCTTTTATAAAGTAAAGATTTGAAGTTAACGTCTCCTTTTTGCTGCCGGGGCTAATCCGGACGGGACCTACTTTGTTTACGCGGAATCCGAACCGCGGTTCTCGGCCATATCATAGTCAATGGCCTACCGACTTGGCAAGCGACTAAATCGACTCCTACTCACTAGATATCCGATCTCATCCGGCCTCAAACCGGCGTGAATGAGCAGTGTGTGTGTCAATAGATTTTACACTTTCGCTTTTATTGGACAACAGCACGATACAAAGTTTCGAACCGGTCACCCGTCCATCCACTAGTATCGCCTTACGTCGCTAAACTTTGTTCTAATTGGAATCGGTGTTTTGACGTAGCTGGACCGTTGCCTGTTCCTTTTATATGCGAACTTGTGAATGTTCCTCACGCTGATGCACCAATGAATTTACCTTGCATTTCAATCTTCGACATATCTTCCTAATCTAGTCTGGTAAAGCCTTCCTTATTGTGAATAAAAAATGCTCTTAAATTTCAAAAAATTACCGAATTATTAAAACATCTAAGTTTGTGCCCAAATAAGTTATACCTCTAAAATTAGGGTAATACTACTTTATTACAGCTCGTTTACTGATACCGCCACTGACGATGACGGCTCTTTCAAGAGAGAAACTTCGTACTTATCGAAAGCTCTCTTTCCGCCATCGGAGTTTGGGAAAGAAAAGTAGAGAAGGCTTTGTAGAGCGGGGTGTATGGTAAAGTTAAGGGCGGTTTGTTTTAGTTGAAAACTAGTTCGTTTTTGAGGATTAGCTAAACGTTAGACGGCTCTATATTTTGTATTAATTTGCCTGGCTCTGTATATTGGCAAGTTTCGAAATTTTAACACTTAGAGAGTTTCATACTGGATTAATAGACTATCTGGTTAGTTCATAGTCTGTACAATTATTATCATATATTGATAGTAAAGCTACAAGGATAGTATGTATCTAAACTAGTAATAAATAAATTTGAAAGATAAAGAAATGCGTATCATCTTTAGCATAATTATCAACACTCAAAATTTAAAATGTTTTTGTTTGTTGTTTAATTGTTATTATTCATTGATTAATGTCATTATTAATGTGTGTGGTATAAAATCAATCTAGTTTTTTTGTAATAAAACTAAGACAGTCAACAAAAGATGAGTGTTTAAAAATATATACAGGGTGGTCCAAACTGTATTCCGGAAACTTCAGCAGCATATTCTGCAGATAAAAATACGTAAAAAAAAATCCGTATAAATCTATGTCCTAAAATGCTTCGTTTCGGAGATACAGGGTGTAGAAGTTTTATTTTTATTTCGATTTTTTCAAATAATTTCTGAAGTAACGTCAATATTTAGATGAAAATTGGTGTCTGGGAGTTTTTTGACATGAGAAATTTGATTTTGATGTCAATATGACTCCTACTTGTAGAGTTAGTTTAGTAGAGACTTGTTTTAATGGTTTGAAAATTAATAACTTTTCGTCCGTACCTGTATAAAATTACTGAGTAAAAAAATATACATTTACGATGTTTTTTACCTAAAAAAGGCCTCTTGGTAAAAATAAGAGTAGTAGTTCTCGAAATATTTGGAATGGAAATTATCAATACGGTTAGAGAACGGTTGCTCGTAGCGATTTTTACCAAGATACATTTTTGTAAATGTATATTTTCTCACTCAGTAGTTTTATACAGGTACAGACAAAAAGTTATTACTCTTTAAAACAGTTAAAACACATGTAGTTGGTGCACCCTAGAAATAGGAGTCACATTGACATCAAAATCAAATTTTTTTATGTCAAAAAACTCCCAGACACCAATTTTTATCCAAGTATTAACGTTACTTCAGAAATTATTTGGAAAAAATCGTAATAAAAATGAAACATTATTTGTACGAATTTTTTTACTTATTTTTATCTGTAGAATATGTTGCCGAAGTTTCCGGAATACAGTTCGGACCATCCTGTATATGAGCATAGTATTGTAATGTTTAGATCTTGAAATAAATATTGTTAATATATTGTTAATCTAGTATTATAAATTTTAACAGTGCATTAGATTTACAGTGATTTTATCACCTGGATAGTCAAAATATTAACACTTAGAGGTTTCATACTGGATTAAAAACTTATATGGTTATATGGTTATCTTATGGTTAGGACGTAGTTTGTACAATTATTGTTGTTTTATTGTTTTGTTATTCATAGTAGAATTACATGGATAATATAAAATTAATTTGGAAGATAAAGAAACGCGTATCATGTTCTACAGAATTGTGAAGATATAGAAGTTAAAAAAATGTTTCTGTAATTATTAATGAGTGTTGATTAATTGCAATTATTTGTTGTTTAATGTAATTATTAAGGCATGTAGTATACAAGTAGTTTAGTTTTTTGTAACAGTGTCGTAGCAATAATTATTTTTAATCTAATATAATTTTATCAGTGCATTAGATTAACATTGATGTTATCTGGATGCTGATGGATTTTATCAATATTAACATATTAAAAATCAATTAGAGACTGAAAAAAATGTAAAATGATGTATGATTTTTTAATTTAAGGGTCTGGCGCTTGCCGATATAAACTACAACTTAGGACAATCCATTTGTCACGAATTAAATGAAGAATATGGGGAAGGCAAAGTAATTTTTATCAACATGGATGTTGTTGACATGAATCAGTTTAAAGGTTTGATTTTATAATTACTTTTTTTTTAAATATTTTAAGTAAGATCTGGCTATATTTCAGATGCTTTTGAAGAGACTGTAGCAGTTTTTGGAAATGTGGATATACTGATTAATAATGCCGGGATTTTAGATGATCGCTTGTGGACTAAAGAAATAGCCATAAATATAGTAGGTTTCAAACAAAAATTATATTAAAATGCTATTTTTTTAATTAAAAATGTCAAAAGTTGACATTTTGACAATAACAACTCTGTAAAAACGTTGCCAAACGTATGAAATAAATCGAGAATCTGTGCACATTGCTAAGAGACGTGGAAGGGGATATAGCAGATTCGTCACGGTCGACCGGTCGACCCAATCAGTACTTAAAATTCTAGGAAAGGGTGTACATCATGCGTTTAACTTCACGATTTAGTTACATCTCGTGATACTTTACTTGTTTATTTATTAACGAGTCGTTGTAATTTTCCCTCTAGCTTGTAAATTTTTATGTGCAAGTTAGAAATACTTGCACTTTTGGTAAAAATAAGTGGAATTGAGTTGGTGTTCGACAGTGGTCGCGCTATTAGAACTCTAAATTCAAAAATCGATACCTTGAAATCCATTAGAAATAATTGATTGTAATTTTTTTCAAAAACTTTCTTAATATTTCTGCTATATTTTCTTCGCAGACAGTATGTGAAAATCTTTACAAATAAAAAAAGTTACACGATTGCTGAAAATTGCAATGCACTAAAAGTAAATTGATGGGTTTTTTTGAATTTTTGAGTGAAAAAAACAAGCCTAACAAATTTTTCTTATTTAAACATCTTGTAAAAGATCCGAACTTCAAAATAAAAAAAAGTTTCAATATCTAAAGAAGTTCTCCTTATTAAAAAAATGGATACCCTAACGATATCCTTATAAGTCCATTTCAGATGCTCAGAAACATATCTAATGATTTTATTTAGTTATCTTTTCGAAAAAAAAGTATTTTAAAAATAAACGGTTTGCGATCGTGATTTTCCTTTACTTGATAGGGAAAGGCGCACCAGAGAAATGTGGCAACGCCGCAACAGCAAACCGTCGCATTTCTCTCACTCCGACTTAATAAGATCCTTATACGACTTACACATGTAAATGCCGACCCAAAAGTAGAGTTGCCAGCACTGTATATTAACTTATATTTCTATACATTAAAAAAATGTAATTTGTTTTAAATTAACTGGTAAAAACAGACGGCAAAGAAAACTCAATATAATTCTAAGTAAACAAGACAAAAAAAAGCATAAAAAATAAAACAATAATATAGAAAAATAAGTATTATTGGGGCCAGGAGAGAAAAATAAAGCAAAACACGAAATAACATGCATCGGACGCATGAAATATGAAAGGTTGGAAAGGATTTCGTAGCAATTTGTTGGACTTATGCCCCGCCGTCTCGTTAAAAAGGGAATAACAAAATACAGCGGGCGTTTCAAAGGGAATGGGCCAAAGGGTCGTCCAAATACGTCTGTGCATTGCATTTTCAAACCGAATGAAACCTTAACGTACTTAACGGACGTATGTAGATATATCTCTGATGCTGTTTCTTCTATTGATGTTTACGTACAGGTTTAGTCGCATTCAAATTGATTCGATTTTATTAAAAAACTATATGAATTTGTGTGGTTTATCTGACATCACAGAGCTTTCAATTCAAAGGTATTTTCTTCTGCTATTTTTCAATGACGCAGTATACAGGGTAATAATAAAATTGCTGTAAATGAAACTGTGTAATCAGAAGTAAATATAAACCAATGTTTTTAAATACATATAGAGGGTGGTCCAAACTGTATTCCGGAAACTTAAGCAGGATATTCTGCAAATAAAAATAAGTAAAAGAGATCGTATAAATGTATGTCCTAAAATACTTAGTTTCGGAGATATAGTCTGTCCAACGAGAAGATCCTTGACAGTGATAGATGTGGCTGTCATTTTAATTTCAAAGTAGTTTATTTTATTTTACAAAGAAATAAGTTGGTACAACTGGAACGCATAGCAGCAAATTAATATATGTATTTAAAATTTGACTGACAAGTAACTTCAAAATATTGTGAAAAAAACTGTATAAAAGTGAAAAAATGTAATCGAGTTATTTTATTTAATAAAAAACGGTATATTTTAATACAAAACAAACAAAAACAAGACACCACATACCAAAAAATATAAAAAAGAACTATTTCTTACCCCTTGCTTCTACATGCGGGGCTCTGTAGAAGTGGACCGACTGTCCCCTAGCGACTCATAGGAACACTATGAGATCTGGTAATAATAGTAATAAAAACATCACCGGTGAAGCTGTGAGGAAACCCCTAGCGACACTGGGAACAGTAACAATGAAAGTTCCAAGGGGCCAAACCCAAAGAGAACTACAGGAGAGGTGGCTGACACTTGCGTGAGACCATCCTCCGCAAGTGGCATACAAGCTACCACCTCCTCCAAGGGTCGGGAGCCTACCTCCTACATCTAAACCCAACAGGCGACACAAGCTACCGTTTCGTCTACCTGGCCTGGGTCGTAGCTCCTCGACTGTGAGGGACACGGGTCTCCGTAGGGAGCCCTGGGACTGTATGATGAGTTATAACTCAAGAAAGGGGGACACAATAGATCTCTAAGGTCGCAGAGATTAACCCCCCTCCCACTTATTCTAAATTCTTCTAAATGTCCAAAAATACTTAGTTTCGGAGATACAAGGTGTAGAAATTTCATTTTTATCTCGATTTATTCCCAAAGTAACATCAATATTGGGCTGAAAATTGGTGTCTGGAAGTTTTTTGACATGAGAAATCTGATTTTGATGTCGAAATGACTCCTATTTGTAGAGGACGCCACCTGCATGTGTTTTAACAGTTTTGAAGAGTAATAAATTTTCGTCCGTACCTGTATAAAACTACTGAGTGAAAAAATTTACATTGTCGTAATTTTTTACGTCAAGATATTTAGAATGGAAATAATCAATACATGTCATTATTGACAAAAAAATAAACATGTCGAGTAGATAGTTATTTGACTAAAATAATAAATTTAGGAACTTCTTATTTTTTTAAATTAATCATAAATTTTTCTTCGAAGAAAATAATGAAAAAATTGTATGGAAATTTTGAAAAGTATAAACGGGACAAACCATTTTAGAACAAGCAAAAATTGTCATGAATTCTGCGAGAGTCATGCATTTTTCTCAAAATATCAATAATAAAAAAGTTTTCCCTCTTTTAAAGACAACCCGGAGACATACTGTATGTGATTCTAACTCGTGTTTATTTTACTATAGTTTAATTATATTTAATATTCTTTTTTTTAGACTGGTACAATAAACGGCATAATTCTTGGCCTGGAGACCTACCTCCAAAAGCACAGGACAGGCTCTGAAGCTGTCATAGCAAACATTTGCTCCATTTCCGGTATAGGGGGCAAGATGGCGTTTCCGTGTCCCCTGTACACCTGTAGCAAGTTCGCAGTTCACGGACTGACCATCACTTTCGGATGTCCAGAGCACTTTCAAAGAACCGGAGTTAGAGTGGTAGCTGTATGTCCGGGAGTTACAGAAACTCCACTGGTGCATAATTTTGTAAACAGGACTCTGGGAGATCCTTACGAGAAATTGTGTAAAGTGTATTTTGAAAGCCATTCCTTGCAAAGGTAAATACCATAAAATTGAAGAAAAAAAACGGCGTCTAAGACGGCTGAGGAATGGTAATCGATGATAATTTTGACGAGGTCAAGCCCTAGATGTTTACTGCCAGTTGGTCTTAAGAAGGTTGTTATTTATTTTTATATGGATTTTTAAATGGTGTGTTTTAAAATTCGAGAAAAAATATTTTTTTTGTAAATATACTGCCTGGCACAAAATTCCGCCACTCTAAAAATTTGACTTAGTTTGATGTTTCATAACTTTTTATTTTGTAATCCGATTTTCCCAAAAATGAATAGATTTAGTATTTGTAAGAGAGATTTTATGGGATCAGAAAGATCTCCATAACCGGTACATTTTAAATAAGTTATGAGATGAAATGGCAACAAATTTTCATAAGGGTTATAAAACTTGCCACACTTTCTCCGGTTTTTGAAAATTCCATGTAACCAAATGTTTGCGACACTACTGCCCATAATTTTAGCCACTGTTAACATTTTAAATTGTAAATAAGCAAATGAAAATAATAAATTTGCACAAGTACCTCGCTATTCCTAGCCGCTCCACTATGTTCTTAGCCTAAGGGTAGTTATTCTTTCTTAATCTATACCTTAATGAATTTAAGCTATAGATCAAGAAAACCCTTTACAAGAGCTAAAGCTACCATTAACTAAGGAATCTCCGTTGAAGCTAGCCATAGATAGCTCTTGTAAAGTTTATGGTGGAATAGGAGGACGACGAACAGCTTTTTTAGAATGTAGAATGTTTAGGAGGGGAGTTAGTCACCGCGACCTTAAAGATCTATTGTGTGTAGTCCCCCTTTCTTGAGTGTAGTCCCCCTTTCTTGACTCATCATACAGTCCCAGGACTTCCTACGGAGACCCGTGTCCCTCACAGTCGAGGAGCTACGACCCAGGCCGGGTAGACGAAACGGTAGCTTGTGTCGCCTGTTGGGTTTAGAGGTAGGAGGTAGGCTCCCGACCCTTGGAGGAGGTGGTAGCTTGTATGCCACTTGCGGAGGATGGTCTCAGGCAAGTGTCAGCCACCTCTCCTGTAGTTCTCTTTGGGTTTGGCCCCTTGGAACTTTCATTGTTACTGTTCTCAGTGTCGCTAGGGGGTTTCCCCACAGCTTTACCGGTGATGTTTTTATTACTATTATTATCAGATCTCATAGTGTTCCTATGAGTCGCTAGGGACAGTCGGTCCACTTCTACAGAGCCCCGCATGTAGAAGTAAGGGTTAAAATACAATGGGGTGCCACCCGGTGCCCCAAGGTTGAGGCTGTCCGTAGCCCCGTCCGGTATCGTTATATGTCTTGGTGCAATTCCCTGGCCACGACATTACAGTCAGGGACAAGACGATGAGTGAGATGCTTCTTAGACCAAGTCAAGTGTTAGAGGGGATTCCCCCCAGCACCTGACCAGGAGCTTCCTCACCAACGACAAGGTCTTGCATCTCCTAGGGGAAGAACAGCTCTTTTAAGTTCATCGCACAAATGTTCGATTGAATTGAGGTCGGGACTACAAGGAGGCCATTCCAATCTTTGTAGTCCAATATCATCCAGGTACTCGTTAACTACTCGTACTCTTAACTCGTTACCCCGCGCAACGTGGGGCTTGGCTAATGCATTGATAATCATGCAGCATCAGTATAAACTGATTTCTAATGAAAGGAACAAATGGAACGACAATTTCTTGAAGAAGATCCTCAATATAACATCTCATCTTTGAAAGCTCGAAGTCTGGAAACATTCTATTCTTTTTTAATCTATATTTTAGTGAAAAGAGAATAGCGTCTAGAGATTGACCTCGCCAAAATTATCAATAAATAAATAAACTAATATTTATTAAATTATTTTAGAGCTGAAAGTTGTGCCAGAGCCATGACAAAAGTAATCCAGAGCGCACCTCCAGGAACTCTGTGGGTATCGGAAGGAGATGAAGAACCTTACCAGTATATTCTACCGGACAGATTTAAAATTCCCAAAGTATACATGGAGTAAAAAAATAAAAAATTATTTTTATTCAAGAAATAAGAAAAATGCTTATTTAAGATATCCAGATAGAAAAATATTTTATTTTTTTGCTTCCTGCCTGCGTCTCTTTAAATTTACACATATAAAAATATTTGTCTTATATTTAGATTAAAAAAATATTAACACTAAAGACAGATCTAGAGTTTGCTGCTTTTTGGAAATGTAATATATAAATAAAATTATAGTGTGAATTATTGTTGTATTGCAATTTATATCAAGACCAAATTTAAATATTTCGTGGATCACTATAACCTTTGAATAAGAAGACTAAGGAAGGAGCATATCAAAAATCTTAGGTACACCGCGATGGGCCTCAAATATGGCCGACTTAAATTCCGGTTTATCAGTGTCGTTCTAATTTTATTTAAAAAATGTAAAACTATGATGTAGGGTAGACGTGGGGTAGACTCAATAATTTGTTGTTTTATTTTACGTTGTGAATAAATGTTGGTAGTTATTAAAATTGTCATAAAAATATATAATTCAAATAAAAATAGATAAGTTATAATAAGTATTTATTAACACAAACATCCGATACGCTACTGAAGCAGGTAAGTCAAATTAACGTATCTAAATTCTTTGATATCTAATCTTTGACAAGTAATAAATAAAAGCTAAAATGCAAGAAAAATATATAATTTAGTTAATTTAAGTGAATTTCATAAATGATCGGTTTACTACACATATTATAAAGTCACTTACTAGCGAAAAGTTGTTCTATTATTTCACTCAATTTTTACCGCGATCTACCGCACGCTACACAACCAACTATTTTAGAGTCTTTTTCGATAAATTGCCATAGTGTCACTGTTAATTTAAGTTCTGCCACAATTTCCATCCAGATTTACTACCTTTATACAACTATCAATAGTAGAATAAATAATAAATAACATAAAATAAAAATATGATGTAAAGACTGACAAATCCACAAAATTTCAAATCAAATTCAAATGTGTCAAATGAATCGTCAAGCAGAACTGTCAAGGATCCCCACCTAGAGTGCTTTTTCCGCCCACCATGCATGAATACATGGATAGCATTATGCTCCTTCTTTAGTCTGCTTATTCAAAGAATATGACTATCACTATCTATAGTAAACTAGAATTACACTAATCAAGTCAAATTTCAGGCTGCAATTCTTCATCAAAAATATGGACATAAATTTCTATAAACATGGCACGGAAATGCCTAGTTTTAAATATACCGGATGTAAAAAAAACTGACTTTTTCGGAAAACTGCGTCACCCTGTTGGTAATAAGACTGCTAAGACCCTAGATCATATATACTTACGTGGATAAATCAACGCCATAAGTTTAGCATCAAAAAATATGTCTCCAACATCACGACATGCCATTTTTAAACCTTCTTTATTACACTTATGAAACGTTCAATAGGTTTGTCTTTCTCGAGGACCTTACTTTGCGCATGCGCATTAAAAGTTGCACGTATTTCCAATATAATCACAATTTTATACAGTTTAGAAAGTACAAATTATATATTGTTAAGGAAACCAACTTTTCATTTTCATCATATTATCATAATCTTTAATCATAATCATATGACATAATCTTATTTCCATTGTGTAACGATGCTTGTTTTTTGCGTTTTTTATTTTAAAAATTGTTTTGATTACTCTTTTATCGACCGCTTTTATATAGCCAAGGATGCAAGTGTCTTCAGTGAGAAGTTAATTTTAAGTTTGTGCAATTATATTCCTATTTTTTTTTTCGCTGGACTTTCTAAATACTCGTAAAAATGACTAGAAAGTGTTTGGTGTGTGGAAGTTCTAATATAAAGGTCCCCAAATTATCTTTTCATAGGCAAGTAAAGTATTCAGTTGTTCTTTTATTTATATTAAGCCACGTGCATACTTTCTGGTTAGATTTCCTAAGAATATTGATATTCGTACGGAGTGGCAAAATGTATTTTTTATATAATTTAATTTTTGTGACAGTAAACATTCAATTTATTGTTCAAATATAAGCATTTTAAAAATTAAATTTTTAAAATTAATGTTCAAATTTGGCGCGCGGACGATATGTCCTCGACAAGGATAGATAGAATAGAAGCACCACGTGTGCAACAAAAAAAGAAGATAAATGGAAGTCGTTGATATGCTTGCGACAGTTTCCATAGTGATTTACTTATCCACGTAAGTATATATGATCTAGGGCTAAGATACTACTTCTAAAAATAAAACAAAGTGTAAATCAATAATAACATTTTAATAAATTCTCAAAATTACATTAAGCTAATAACTTGTAAACAACAATAAATAACAAACATCAAAATACATTATAAAATACTCCCGTTAAACTTGTAACAAAATGGCTACTCCGGCCAAAGTCCATTTTAAAGCTTTTTCTTTCGTTTTTAAATTGAACGTCCAAACGAAGGTTGGACCTCGCATTCTAGTCTTGTACACCGGACAGTCGTACATGTTTCTCAAGTCCTGCTTGTCCTGGGTGATGGCCTTGATGAATATAACCGGTACCACAGGGAACAGTTCTTTCAGTTTCGAGTCTGCTATACTGTTGAGTTGTACATCCCATCTAAAAAAAACAAGATTAATGCAGAAAAGATTAATGCAATTTTACCGTCGTGTATAAAAGATATTTTTTTCCTTAGCTAGTTACGTTTTAAAAAATATTCAGAAATTATTATTTCAAGGAATTTATTACGAGTAGAAAAAATATTGTACTGGGTTGGCGTTGGTTTCTATGTAATTTGACAAATAAATAAAGCTATCTCTTTAGTTGTCAGTTTTGAGTCAATATTTTTAATTCTCTTTCGTGTCGATTGCTGATTGAATTGGAGCCAGAAATGGCTCAAAACGAAATAATTACCAACATATATTCAGGCTGAGGCGACAAACGCCATATTCAAACTACTTCCATTTAAATCCCGAATAACTTATGAAAAGAAATACAAATATTTTCAAAAATGGAAGCAATTAAAAAACGTGCGAGAAGAAATAAAGGTTTTAACCATTGCCTGGAAACTTAAATGGTGAAATTTTGATAAAATAATTTAGTACACACTAAAAACACGGTATGTCGCTAGCGGTAGGAAAAATAATTTTTAGAAGTTACTAGTTTATTTGGTTGCCTGTGATATGCATATACAGGGTGTTTTCTAATTAATCTAAAAAATAAAAAATCGTTAGAAAACGAATTAAGGCGGGCTCTTAATAAGTATATTTATTTTTTTCTCGACAACCGTTTGTTGAACAAGAAAAACTCAAAAGATCAATTTTGTTGAAAAAGGATGGCCAGTCAAGGAAAAAAATATATTTTCTTTAAAAAAGCAGTGGTGTACCATTTATGTTAAGCAAAAAATCGATTTTTTTTAAATTTTTAACACCCTGTAGATCAAAAAGGAAGTACTTTAGACCTAATGGTTATATAAAAATTGTTTTAAGAACACATGAGGAATCACACCATAACTTTTTAAACTAATTCGAAAACACCCTGTATATTGTCAACTTGACAATGACTGCTGATAAATCAAAAAATACCTTTTCAGTGAAAAAAGCCTGATTTTCGCAGGAAAAATTTTGATTTTTATTGAATTTGGGCCTGCGTTTGCAAATACTCGTTTGTTTTTTAATTTTCTATCTATCTAAATTTTAAATATATTAGTCAGAAATAGTTTTATTATTCATTAACTGTAAAAATGGTGTTTTCTTGTTGTGTTGCATCTTGCAAAGAAACTAACAAAACTGCAAAAATGTACGTGTTTCCAAAAGACGATAAGGTATGTATCTTAGATAAAAGAAAAATATATGGTATGTATTCGTTGTTTGATTTTTTTTCGTTCGCTTTAATATCTATAAATCTCGGTCTATTCATTAGACAGCCAGTCGACTTACGATCATTTACATGAAACTCTGTAAAATAAATAGAAAAATAAATTGTAAAATATAAATATTCTTATGTTTTATTAACGTTACTCTGATATACTAATATATCAGTGTAACTTTAAAAATAAATCCTTTGAATTCAAATATAAACATAAAAAACATTTACAGCAGAAAAGGCGAAGGCGCTGGGTTAAACGTAGTCTCCACTAAAAACACGGAGGAGCGCTTTGACCCAAAATTTTACTATTAAGTTTCATATCTATCTTAATAGTAGATTATTTTCTTTTATCTATGGTTTTAACCTATCGTCGCTGTTAAAGTATCATTTAGTCTACCCTTGCGGTCAAAGTACTATTTTATCAACTATTTTTGATAGATATAAAACAATTTTAACTGTTCCTATGGAAAAAAATATTTTTTTATTTTATAGATTTTCTTCCAGTGGAGAAAAACCCACAACCTTTGTTTAAAGATAAGCATACATTATTACACAATCTAAATGAAAATACTACTAAGAAGAAAGTGTCTCCAAAGAAAGCAAACATTACATATTTAATCTTCATTGACATACCTAGCTCCTTCCATGAACAAGCCATGTACGTATGCTCCCTCTCTGGGCGCCGTATTGAAGTCTTCCTTTTGCTTCTTGGTCACGTCAGTCATCAGACACATCTTGTCCAAAGGCCATTCGTTCTTCCTGGCGGTTTGTTGCATGATAGCTGTCAAAAAAGATTGTGGGTTGAAGAAACCGCCCAACCAGACGGCAGCTGGCATGGAAAAGTCTGAAACCCATCCCTCCAATTCTTTGATTCTATAAAATAGTTGAAGAAAAAAATTACTTTTACCGTTTTAAAACTAAATCATTATACAGGATGGTTCAAACTGTATTTTGGAAACTTCGGCAGCATATTCTGGCACGTTACTTCATAAATTATTTGGAAAAAAAACGATATAAAAATGAAACTTCTACACCCTGTATCTCCGAAACTAGGCATTTTAAGACTACACGAACTTTTTTTACTTATCTTTATCTGCCGAATATACTGCCGAAGTTTTCGGAATACAGTTCGGAAACCACTAAATGCGAGGTTCTCAATGAAGCTTTACTGTATGCAATTAAAATGAAATCAGTCAATATTTAAACACCATACAGTGATGTATAAAATACCCTCTTAGTGCTGCTTTGTTGTAAAAAGAAATAAATCCAACCTTTCAAAGGTAAAAGACGCGATATAAGGGAAAAGATTGAAAGAAATCGACGAGGCTAAAAAGAACGTTAACACCCACGAGATATCGTCTGATTCCCATGCAAATATGGCTCCTCTTCGAGAAGATCACGGGTTTTCTATACTGAGTGTTGCGATTATTGATTTTAGATTTATGTTTTATAAGTTGTAGGATTTTTGATAGTGTGGCAACCCATATTTTTGTATAAAAAAGTGGAAATCGTAGTTATGTAAATTATGACACATTCGGACATTATATAATTTATTATAAGAGAGAGAAAGAGAGAGAGAGAGAAGTAACGTCAATATTTGGTTGAAAATTGGTGTATTTTTGTATAAAAAAGTGGGAATCGTAGTTATGTAAATTATGACACATTCGGACATTATATAATTTATTATAAGAGAGAGAAAGAGAGAGAGAGAGAGAGAAGTAACGTCAATATTTGGTTGAAAATTGGTGTATTTTTGTATAAAAAAGTGGGAATCGTAGATATGTAAATTATGACACATTCGGACATAATATAATTTATTATAAGAGAGAGAAAGAGAGAGAGAGAGAAGTAACGTCAATATTTGGTTGAAAATTGGTGTATTTTTGTATAAAAAAGTGTGAATCGTAGTTATGTAAATTATGACACATTCGGACATTATATAATTTATTATAAGAGAGAGAGAGAGAGAGAGAGAGAAGTAACGTCAATATTTGGTTGAAAAATTGGAGTCTGGGAGTTTTTCGACGTAGTTAGTTTAGAGTTTTTGACGTAGTTATGTAAATTATGACACATTCGGACATTATATAATTTATTATAAGAGAGAGAGAGAGAGAGAGAGAGAGAGTAACGTCAATATTTGGTTGAAAATTGGTGTATATTTTTGTATAAAAAGTGGGAATCGTAGATATGTAAATTATGACACATTCGGACATAATATAATTTATTATAAGAGAGAGAAAGAGAGAGAGAGAGAAGTAACGTCAATATTTGGTTGAAAATTGGTGTATTTTTGTATAAAAAAGTGTGAATCGTAGTTATGTAAATTATGACACATTCGGACATTATATAATTTATTATAAGAGAGAAAAAGAGAGAGAGAGAGAGAGAGAGAAGTAACGTCAATATTTGGTTGAAAATTGGAGTCTGGGAGTTTTTCGACGTAGTTAGTTTAGAGTTTTTTGACGTAGTTATGTAAATTATGACACATTCGGACATTATATAATTTATTATAAGAGAGAAAAAGAGAGAGAGAGAGAGAGAGAGAAGTAACGTCAATATTTGGTTGAAAATTGGAGTCTGGGAGTTTTTCGACGTAGTTAGTTTAGAGTTTTTTGACGTAGTTATGTAAATTATGACACATTCGGACATTATATAATTTATTAAGAGAGAGAGAGAGAGAGAGAGAGGTAACGTCAATATTTGGTTGAAAATTGGTGTCTGGAAGTTTTTTGACATAAGAAATTTGGGATTGTAATGTCAATATGTCAATATGACTCCTATTTATAGAGTGCGCCACCTACATATTGTTTAACTGGTTTTAAAAAAAAATATCTTTTCGTAAAAATCGCTACGAGTAGTGGTTCTCGAGATATTTGGAATCTAAATTATCAATACCTGTCATCATTGACATACATTAAACATGTTCACTAAATAGCTGAATAATTGAAATCATTAATTTGATTTTTTTTGTGTCAAAGTTCAATAAAAACTGTTTAATCGTTATTTTTTCGCAGAAAAATTTATGATTAATTAAAAAAAATAATAATTTATTATTTCAGTCAAATAACTATACTCAACGTGTGCTTATTGTTTGTCAATGATGACATGTGTTGACTATATTTCCATTCTACATATCTTAAGAACGGTTGCTCGTAGCGATTTTTACCAAGAGACATTTTTTACGTAAAAAGACATGGAAATGTCTTCTTCAGTCAGTAGTTTTATACAGGTACGGAAGAAAAGTTATTACTCTTCAAAACAGGTAGCGCCCCCTACAATTAGGAATCATTTTAACATCAAAATCAAATTTCTCGTGTCACAAAACTCGCAGACACCAATTTTCATCCAAATATTGACGTTACTTCAGAAATTATTTGGAAAAAATCCAAATAAAAATAAAACTTCCACACCCTCTATCTCCAAAACTAAGCATTTTAGGACATACCGAGGGACATACATTATTTATATGAACTTTTTTACTTATTTTTATCTGCAGAATATCCTGCCAAAGTTTCCGGAATACAGTTCGGACCACCCTGTATATGTATGGGTACTTCTCTCGTTATACAATTTAGGCATTCTTCATGTAACAAACAAATTTCGCAATAATTATTCCCCTGGAGCATGGATAAACGATTCGCGCCAATTTGTTCTTTTATCGATCACGTGTCATCTTCTCGTGTAACGACCCAATTCACCAACAGCATTAATTCTTCTCCTCTCCACTCCGGCACGAATCTAGCATATTTGTTAATCGATTTTCTGTCAGTGCATCCCGTCCCCGCCCCGCCCCTACGTCCCACCGCCCTTCTTCGGCAATATCTAATTTAAAATATGGCCCTTATTAATCATTATTATCGTTGGCGAGAGCGACAGTTATTCGAGTTTTAAACTGACCGGAGTGGCGCTCTAAATTGGTTGTTCTAAACGAGTTGGGAGCGCGAGTTTTTGAGACAGGAGAGTGTTATTTTATAACTGTTGCTGTTATAAAAAAATTACAGTTTGAAACAGTCGTTGATTTCTAAATATACAACAGTTACGGGAGTAAGAGTGCTTTGAAATCGAAGTAGGCATCTGCAGCTCCCGGAATTTCTACCAAGCTTGCAACAATTGTTTAAAAAAATATGTATTATGTATCCGGTTTTTACAGCGTCCTTCGCCGCCCTCCGGTCTCCATGCGCCACCTCCGTCCGTTGTCCCAATCTTCTGGTAGTAGGTTCCTTGGTTCCAGGAAAGTTTAGGTCGGCCTCGTTTGCGTCTGTCTGTAGGTGTCCACTGCAACGCTTGCTTTGGTATTCTGTCGTCATCCATTTGCTGTACATGACCGTAGCGCTGCAGTTGTTTTTCTTGTATATCTCGTACAATGTTATTGTACTATATTTCCATTCTACATATCTTGAGAACGGTTGCTCGTAGCGATTTTTACCAAGAGATATTTTTTACGTAAAAAGTCATGAAAATGTCTTCTTCAGTCAGTAGTTTTATACAGGTACGGAAGAAAAGTTATTACTCTTCAAAACAGGTAGCGCCCCCTACAATTAGGAATCATTTTAACATCAGTACCCAAACCAAACCAAACACCCTGTACAAATTTGTAAAAAATCTTAAAATATGTAAAACAACAAAAAAAAATATACGTGTTTAAGAGTTTTTCCGAAAAACTCACCGGTTTTTTTTTGAATAAAAAATATTTTAATATTTGAGGGATAGTTTCACCCCCTTTGAATTCGAGTTTCGAAAAATCTCTTCTTATCGAACCTCTACACCCTAAAGTAAATCTGTTTTCCAAAAATCAGCTTTTTACGTCAAGCGCTTTAAGCAGGATCGTGATTAATCAATGACCAGATTTTTCGAAACACCCTGTATACATTTTTAAAAAATCTTAAAATATGTAAAAAGGCAAAATAAAATATACGTGTTTAAGCGTTTTTTCGGAAACTTGACCGTTTTTTAAATAAAAATATTGTAATATTTGAGGGGTGGTTTCACCCTCTTGAAACTGGAATTTCGAAAAATCCCTTCTTATCGAACCTCTACACCCTAGAATCAACCTGTATGTCAAAATTGAGCTTCTTACGTTGAGTGGTTTGAACAGGATCGTGATTAATCAGTATGTCAGTCACTTAAGGATTTTATATATTAGTATAGATTCAATATCATGTAAAAGCCGACAACGCTGTGCCGGTCAAGCTTAATCACGTGACTAAGGGCTTATTTGGTATTATCTAGGTTTATAAGTCACAACAACGTTCATACCTCAACGTCAAATCACCAACCCACTGTCCGAGAGGCAGCAAACTCGGATACGCCTTCACCGACCACGAATCCGGTACCTGGTCCATGAAAAGCGACTCTTCCAAGACTTCCATGTCCGACGTGATGGTCAGTTCGCCTTTCAGACCCCCATCGAGCTCGTGTAGTGACCGTTTCATCTCCCTGGTCAGGTTGTTCATGCGTTCGCACTCTTGGAACGCTACTATTATGTAAGGGGTGCGTTCTTCGACTTTGGCCATCATTTCCGCCACTGGGAATTCTTCGGGAAGTTTGTCGTAGATTTCTTCCAGCGTATTTCTTACCTTAAAGTTAAATCAATGGATTATTTTTACAAGTTTTTTTTTAATTTAATTTGCATTGTTCAGTATATCGGTTGTTACTTCCAAAATTGGCAAATAAAGTTTCAAGTATTTCTACTAAACTGTTTCTTATAAAGCTAATAGCTCTTATAAAACATTCCACAATTGAAGAAAAATTTTATTCAATAAAGTGTCTCAAGAAATCCCCATGTAAATTGTAAAAATAAAGGATAAAAGTTTCCTAAAAAGTTTTAAAAAACAGTTTAAAATAAATCGAATGGTTCATTTTGAATTGTTAATACGAATTCGTTTTTGAGTTATAAGAGGTACTATACAGGGTGGTCTGAACTGTATTTCGGAAACTTCGGCAGCATATTCTGCAGATAAAAATAAGTAAAAAAGTTCAAATAAATGTATGTCCTAAAATGCTTAGTTTCCGAGATACAGGGTGTAGAAGCTTCATTTTTATTTCGATTTTTTCTAAATAATTTCCGAAGTAACGTTAATATTTGGATGAAAATTGGTGTCTGGGAGTTTTTTGACATGATAAATTATGATGATGAAGGCGCCACCTACATGTGTTTTAACTGTTTTGAGGAGTAATAACTTTTCGCCCGTACCAGTATAAAACTACTGAGTGAAAAAATATACATTTCCGTGATTTTTTACGTAAAAAATGTATCTTGGTAAAAATCGCCACGAGCAACCGTTCTCAAGATGTTCCCAAATTTATAATTTGAGTTAAAAAAACATCTACTCAACATGTTTCATTTTTGTCATCAATAAAAAAAAATTATTTGGAAAAAATCGAAATAAAAATGAAACTTCTACACCCTGTATCTCTGAAACTAAGCATTTTAGGACATACATTTATACGAACTTTTTTACTTATTTTTATCTGCAGAATATCCTGCCGAAGCTTCCGGAATACAGGTCGAACCACCCTGTATATTAAACAGTAAGCAATAGCCGGATTTTTTATGTAAGAATATATTTTTATCTCTATAGAAATTTAATAAAATAATTTTTTCTCTAAAATAAAATGTGTAACTTTTATCAATTTTTTTTTTTTATTTTTTAAATTGACATAGGATTTTCTATGTTTATGTTGGCGACGCAATAGAGGGTATACAATAAAGAAATAAATATTTTTTTCTGAATCACTCACTTTTTCTTCTCTGGACATTCCAGCTCCAGCTGCAGCACTGGAATCCCTAGGCTGCATCTCGAATATTGTTCTGAACATGTTCTCAGAAGTGCTGGCCAAAAAGCCGATTTCTGCGTTGGGGTGCAGGCCGTACAAATAGGGGCTCTCAGGAGGTAATCGGTCGTCTATATACCTATGATATCCTACGTAGTCGGTATTGGGTGGTGCAAAGAAACCTTTAAGAGAAGAAGATAGATAAAAACTCTATTGTATGGTACGTTCTCTAAAAGAAATGACGGGTATCTGGCTTTTTAATTTTAAAAACTGACATTTGTTCTGTTATTTTTTCGATATTGTTTGTCAAAGTCAAATATATCCTCATTGGACAGTTTGTAATAATAGTTTTTTCCATAGCAGCTGTTAAAATTGCCTTATATCTATCAAAAATAGTAAGTACTTTTACCGCAAGGGTAGATTAAATGATAATTTAACAGCGAAGATAGGTTATAAACTTTATTTCTTCTCGCACGTTTTTTAATTGCTTCCATTTTTGAAAATTTTTGTATTCCTTTCGACAACTAAAGAGACAGCTTTATTTATTTGTCAAATTACATAGAAACCAACGCCAACCCAGCACAATATTTTTTCTACTCGTAATAAATTCCTTGAAATAATAATTTGTGAATATTTTTTAAAACGTACCTCGCTATGGAAAAAAAATATTGTTTTATACAAGACGATAAATGGTATTTTATCGTCTTGTATAAAAAATAACTATTACTATTGACTTTTCCCCAAATATTACAACCAAATCACAAATTAATTAAAATACGTGTTCTTTTTTATAGATGTACAGCTGGTTCCAAAAAAAATGAATACGACTCTTTACACATTTTTTTCGAATATTTGAGCAGTGTATATTTATATGTCAAGTATTTTGACATGTTAAGGTTATTGTGACATTGAATAAAACAACTTTGTTTTTGACAAAGTGACAAATAAATTTTTCAGAATGTCAGCATGACATGAGTAGAGAAATGGGGGACTGATATCATAGAATATACTGCCCGAAATAATAAAAATATGTTTTAAATCGTATTCAATTTTATTGGAACCAGCTGTACCTATTAAAAACATCGTAAGTGACAAAATATCTCAAATTTTTCAAGAATTTAAACTCTGCACAGCAAAATAATATATGACATTAGTTAAAGATAGTTATCTGTCTTTTTAATAAGTACCTACTATATTACATTTTTCTCCAGTTTTATTAGATATCGCCTGGAAAAATTAATCATATTTTATTATAATTATGTTTAATATTATTATACCTGGTGCAAATTGAAGATCACCCTCAATCAGCTCAGATTGCATGTAGTTCAAAAGGTAACTGCGACATAGTCTTCTATCCCAGTCATCTGTGATATGTCCTCCATACATAATCTCTCCAAATAAGTACCGCAAATCTTCAAACGGTACCTATATCTCAACAGAAACCAAACATAAATTCAGTTATGTTTGTGGTTGAAAGTAAAATATTGAATAATGTCAATCAGTACTAAAATATCGTTGTACCACCCTGTATATCAATATATTTTAAAGCTCCTATTGAGAAATTCAAATAAATGCGATCTCCTCGCCATACCCTATTCAATATACATGTTATATGCGATGAAAAATTATGCAAGGTATGCAATCAATATAAATATGTTCGATGCATTCACCTTTATAGATAGAGCTAGAATAGAGTTTGTTCGTTTTTTTTCTACTTTCTTCTCGCTCTTTCAACGCCGGCCCACTTGAGATATTTTTATTAGAAAGCGTCGGCAAGCTCTCAGAAAATATGTCGTGTCAATAGAGAATTTATAAAACTTGATAGATTAGGTCTTGTAAGAAGTTTTATGCAACTAAGGCTTCATTCAGGACCTCGCAATTAGTGGAATAAGTTAGTGGTTTCAATTACAATTTATATTTTTTAGTTTACGATCATTCACAATGTCTAAAAAACACAATTAAAATTAATAAAATATCCTAGCAACATCTTGCGGTAGTCAGTTGTACCCATGATACAAAGAATACAAGGTATGATATTGCGCAGGTTGGTCATTACGTCACAGGTGATAAACGCTTAGATAAACGGCACCATTGGTCGGCAAGCTCCGCGCGCCAATTTCAAATTGTCAAACAGATGACACATTAAATGTGAAAATAATTTTTCAAATGTCAAGCAAGATGATTTGATATAACTTTTGGGGTTATGTCCTAATTCTTCCCTATTTTAGGTCTTTTTTTTATTAGTGGCAATTGAACAATATAGATATTTTTTGTATGGCGTATGATGTCACAGGTGGTATGCGCAAACTTAACGAAATTGGAGCCGCTATCGATCATACCTTGTTTTCTTTGTATCATGAGTTGTACCCATAGAGAAAGTGTAATATTTAGCTTATAAAACAATCAACTTTTGATCTCTAACTACAATTTCTCTTGATGGATGATAATCAAAGGTCAAAATGACAAATTTTGAAGTATAATTAGTGAAAAAGTTAAAAGTTTGTTAACTTTTTCTACTAACGAACATAAAAAACATACGCAAAGAGGTGAAACAATAAAGTCGGGCATTGCAGATCATGTATAGTTCAAGCACCACAACATAAAATGGTTAGGTTTCTTAAAATATTTTAATTAAAAGAAAATTTGTAAAAGTGACCAACGCTTCAAGCTTAATCACGTAAAAGTTTATTTGATATGAGGTATATGTACTTTATGATTTTGCCAATGCTTATTCAAGATCATGTTTGTGACAGTTTTACACATGTTTTATTTTTTACTAACGTGTACCCGCAACTTCGTTCGGGTCGAATTAATCATTTGTAATGGTGATGATAAAGTAAAGCAAGAATTTTCATTAACATACAAACTGGATAAAATTTTACACACATTTATGTCAGCATGAGAAAAAACAATATGGCGATATTATTATATAACTTGGTAATATTTGAGGGGTAGTTTCATCTCGTTGGAATTTGACTTTCGAAAATTCCGTTTGCCAAAAATAAACTTTTTACGTCAAGCAGTTTAAGCAGAATCGTGGTTAATCAATTACCCAACTTTTTGGAACACCCTGTATGATTTTTTAAAAAATTTCAAAATATGTAAAAAAACAAAATAAATTATGCGTGTCCAAGCGTTTTCGCGAAAGACTAACCTTTTTTTAAATAACAAATATTGTAATATTTGAGGGGCGTTTTCACCCTCTTGGAATTTGAGATTCGAGAAACCCCTCCTTATCGAACCTCTACACCCCACAGTCAATCCGTTTTCCAAAAATCAGCTTTTTACGTCAAGCGCTTTAAGCAGGATCGTGATTAATCAATGACCAGATTTTTCAAAACACCCTGTATACATTTTTAAAAAATTTTAAAATATGTAAAAAAACAAAATAAAATATACGTGTTTCAGCGTTTTTTCGGAAACTTCACCGTTTTTTAAATAAAAAATATTGTAATATTTGAGGGGTGGTTTCACCCTCTTGGAACTGTAATTTCGAAAAATCCCTTTTTATCGAACCTCTACACCCTAGAATCAACCTGTATGCCAAAATTGAGCTTCTTACGTTGAGTGGTTTGAGCAGGATCGTGATTAATCAGTATGTCAGTCACAGATTTTATATATTAGTATAGATTTCGAAAATTGTTATTGACGTAGATAAAAGATATAGCTGTAAAAGGAGTAGTTTCCAAAAGTGTAATAATATACTGGCTGTTCAATGTAATGTAAAATAACAAAGATACTACTAATTTCAAATAAAGCGGCAACATTGTAACATTAAAAATGGTTTAGATCGATGGAGCAGATGGCTTTACGTAAAAACCTAAATTTTAGTAAAAAATTATCACCAATTACAACTGTAAATACTCGTAAAAAATATCGAAACCAAGAGAAGAGTATAAAAGGAAATCGATGTTAAAATTACTGTAAATTTTAACCATTCACCTAGTTCTACTCACAGTAATATAATATTTTACATTTATTTATTGTTTAATACTTTTCTAAATAATACGTTACCATAAAGCCTACTAAATTTTAAACAACAATACTTTAATTTAACCATAATGAAAATATGATGTTTTTGTTAAGAGTCTATTTCACTAGTCCAAAAAAGTAGCAAAATAGGCGTTCGGCATTGAACGTTTTATGTCAAACTGGCCAGGTATTTTTACACAAATGAAGAAGGAAATTAAAGATAAAGAATTATACTATATCTGTATTGTAGCACATTTTTAAACAACTTCGTTATTTTTAAGATTTTGATGATCAAACATCAACAAAATATTCCTTATGTTTGGACAAAATTTTCTCGAAAATAAAGACATAATTTAAAATTCCGTTACAATACGAAAATAGATTGAAGTTTTGTGATTACAGTGATATATAATTTATACGGTTTTGTAACAAATTGCTCGCTACTTTATTGCAAATGCTGAAGCTCTGCAAACCTTAATCAAGCCTTAATCAAAGCACGTGTGTTTGGAATTTTGGGTCTGGCACAACACGACAGGATCGGGCTAAGTCTTTGGCAGATTTCTGTAATATAATATATATTTCCTTTGGCCACATAACCACTTTACCCGACCGCTGAGCTGAGAGCGACCCGAAAGTACAGCGTAATAGACTCTTAAAACCTTAACCGTAATAAAACCAGTTTCACTTACCTTATTATTACTCTCCAAATAATTGTACAACACGCTCACGCTAATGGTAAGGTCACCAACGTTAAAAGGATAGTTCCTGTTCCATCCCTGAGGACCAAACTTCCTCCTCTCAGCTACAACGGCGTGAAAATAGCATAACGCAAATAGGATGGCCTTAAATTCGGCTTCTTTAGAACTCATTTCCAACGTTTCCTGAGTGAAATTATCCAGAGCTTTGTGCAGGTTCGCGTACATCCCGGTAGGAGGCTCGTTGGTAATCTTAATGGACGACTCCAGGATTCCCTGAGGTATCACGCAGGTGTGTGGATCAGATGACGGTTCAGCACTTAAATAGAGCCTGTAATTTTCAAATAATAGTACTGAATCCGTTGTTGGTACTTTGTGAAAAAAATGCCTTTTGCACGAATTATGTTTATTTTATATTATTACTCAAAATTTCTATTGTACAGGGTGGCGCCTGTCATACGCTGTGTCAGGGTGTCCCCAAAAAAAGTTACACATCAAAGTTATTTTTTTTCTCGACCCGAAAAGTTATACAGAGTTGTTTCGTGAGACCAAATTAATATGGAACATCAGTCACTTTTAAAAGCAAGTTACACCTTTATTTTAAATGGAACACTCGGTATATTTTTCCGGTGTTCAATGAGGAATTTATATATCTTCAAAATATTATTAAGGTTGCCTACCCCTCAGTTAAAAATTTTCCTAGATATTTTAATTTTTATGATTTCGCGTCAGTAGATCTTTATTATTTGAAAAAATCTAGGGTGGCTGTGTGATATACCTTTTGTTAATGGAACAAAAATTAAAGTTTGTAGAGTAAAATACTGAAAGGTAATAAAAAGATACACGTTTAAAACATATTTTAATTATTACTCGATTAAAACTAGATATGAACCTATAATTATGTGAGAAAAATTAGCTGGATGAAATCAAATGCCCAAAATGCTTCCTTTCCTGTTAACTGAATAAAATTGTCTTTTCAAAAGGATCTTTTCATTTTAAAGGGCATACGTATGTATTTCACGGTTGTTACCTATAAAAGGGGCATTAATTATGTCCCAAGGGAGTTATAACTCTATATATTCTAAATTAGCGCAAGAAAGACGATATAAAAGCTTATATTAATTCAGTAAGAAATAAAAAAACTTATACCTGTAGTTTTCGTGTCCACTCTCGGCACATTGCTCCATTTTCTTCTCCAAGGTCGCTAGCCATTTCATGACTAAGTGGATGTTTTGAAGAATAACCCAGTGACCGTCTTGAGCTGCCAAGTCCATGGCACTCTCAGCCACAACTTCCTGACCCTGTCCCAAAGACACACTGTGGAAATTACCACTGTCCAATTTAAACCCAAGCTTCTTGCCCATCCTTTCCACATCCTTCAAGGGATTCACTCCAGGCGATAGAATAAAGAACACTGGAGTAGAGGAACTGGTTTCCTCGTAAGATTTCTCGAAAGCCACAGATCTGGCTGTGATGTATTTACTACCCAGCTTCTCCACAATGTAAAGACTTACAGCGTAAGTCATTCTGTCAGGCCTCAAACACCTCATAATGCAGAGTCTCTGTAACGTAGTTTTGTTCTTCCATTCTCCAGGAAATTTTTCTTTTTCCGGACATTCACTTTCCACGAACTTTCTCCAACGTTTTGCCGAGCCTTCCAAATCCTTATCCAAGCTTTTGAACTCATCCATAAGAGATAAAGCTTTAATACCTCCCCAGCAAATATTATTTAGGAAATCAACAGGTGAGGAAAGATTAGCTATGACTGGAAACCTCAACAAAAAGTCTAGCTCCTCTGGATTGATTTCTCCAAGCTGTATAAATATCTGAAAAGTCATTTGTGCCATGAATATCAGCTTGTCACATTCAAACAGTCCTCTGCTAGTATACATATACACAGAAAAAGTTATGTTATCGAGCAAATTCACTACACGGTCTTTCAGTTTTTCTGCTGGAGTGGCTCGTTTAAGAGCATCCTTGAACACCACGCTGAAAGCTTTCAAAGAGAACTGGTAGATCATGTTAATTCTAAACAGGTCGTTTAGAATGAAATACAAAAGTGAAGCTCTAGCAGCGCAAGGTCGGTATTGTTCCCTAGCTTCATCAATTTTTACTGAAGTTATTTTAGCTTCATCAACCTTTAACGCTATTTCATTGGCAGTTCTCTTGGTTGTTTCCAAATTTAACACCAATTCTACGTCTCCTAAAATATTACCTGTAGCTGATGATAACTTGTATAATAGATTATCCTCGCATGTTTTCAAAGTAATTTTAAAATCGTTTTGTTGTTTAGTAAGAGTTGATTTTAGTTTCTCCAAGTCTGGGCGTTCGGATTTGACCACCTCCGCCAATAACTGTTCTTCTAGTCCATCTCTGGTCACTGTAAAATTAATTAGAGTCGTTTGAGCTTGGATTTCAGGCTTGTAATGTGGGTTGGCCAACTTCGTGTGAAGAATTAACCGAAATCTTGGATCAAAATCAACTTCCTTATCTCCAATTTTAATACACTTGCCTTTTTTCACAAGTACTCTACCCAACACCGGGTCAAGCACTGCATCTAGTGTTTCCCCAATGTTCTCAATCAGCACGGTTTCTCCGTCAGAAATACAAGTCTCGATTATATCCAGGTACGTTTTTTGAGAGGTCCTGACCACTTTTAACTTGTCACCGTACTTGGTCTTGATCCATTTGATGCCCTGGAGTTGGGGGTCGATCATTAAAGGCCAACGACTGGAATTGGTCAAAATGCAAGCATTTTCCGCTGACATTCTATCAGTTGGTAAGCCTTCGTTGTTCCATTGGGCTATTAGAGCGTCGTCTGTGAGTAGAGTCATCGGATCTAGCCCTTCTGTCATAGGAATGGGAATTTCCAGAGTGTTAAAGTACGGTCTCCAGTGCTTTTCGAGCATATCCACTCGATATTTTTTAGTAAAACAACCAAGATACGATATGAAAGCCGTAACTAACAGTATGTCGCCGGGTATAGTTACAACACTCGCTGTGTAATCCTTGATCAGTTGTCTCCAGCGTATGTTTTCTGAAGCTAGACCGTTTACTAATCGGTTAGCTAAATCGATCATGTTGGCAGTAGCATCTGCTTCCGCCTGACATTTCAGCTTGGCATTCGTAGCTTCTTCGAATTCGGCTCTTAAAATTGACAGTTGCTTCTCCAACTTGTCCAATTTGTCTTTTAACTCGGCCAGTTTAGCTCGAGCTTCTGACAGTTCCTTGTTCGCAGCAGCCAAAGCCTTTCTTTTTGGTTCGACCACCACGAAAACCTCGTAGAACTTCAAAATGTTTATAACCCAAGCGCATAGACCAGCAGCTGCAACTGATTTGCTTAGAATGTTGGCGGGATTAAAACCTGGATCTTTAGTGTACTCCAACGTAGCTTTGACGACTTCGGGTTGCATATTCTCCTTGTCGTAGTTGATCAAATCGGACAGAAATTGATCTACTTTGTTCATTATCGTCTTGCATTCTTTCCAACTGCGGTCTTTAGGAATTTTGCCTTTTTTCGAGAACAACACCAAGACAGCTGCGCAAACGGACACTACAGCTTCGGGAGGACTACCAAAAGACTTTAACTCGGTCAAATTGTTCTTGTTTAGTGTGTTTAAAGCTGCTTGAGCGGCTAAAAGAGCTGGCTCGGCTTTAGCGAGATCTTCAGCGCAAACTTTGGCTTTAACGGATACGTCTTCTTCGATTACTTTTACTTTAGCTTCTTCTTCGCTCGCTGATGCTTGTTCTACGGCAACTTTCTCGTTTTCTACTGTAAGTACCTCAATTAAGGCACCAGCAGCGGCATTTTTTTCGGTCAGTTCCACCTCTTGCTCGGCTAAAACCTCCTTTAGCCCATCAACTTCTTCAGAAGTCGAAGCAAGTTTTGTTAAACCGTTTTGAAGTCTGGTAATACTTTCAAAGATTTCCGCTGTTTTCTCTGTTAAAAGTTTCGCATATAAATCAATCTGTTCTAAGAACGACTTAGGGGTAGTATAGTTGTATCTTTTTTCGTTTGTTAGGTAGATTTCTGAGAAATTGTTCACCACTCCGTGAACGTGCGACATAAAAAGCGACACGGAGTTTACCAAATTCTCTGGAAGTACCTCGATTTCAGCTAGGAACCTTTTAGATACCGATTCAAGAGCTTCTCTAGGCCAGTCGTGAAACCAATCGATAGACGTGCAGTTTACTAAAGCAGGAAATTTCCTAGCTCGTACTCTAAGAGTTGAACCAACCGGTGAGAAACATAAAACAACCTTCAGCAATCTTCTTACTCGATCTATAAAGAACTTCCAACAATTCTCTCTAGTGTCTTGTAGCCCAATGTTCTTCACTTCACCTCGCATAGCTCCCAAAACGTTTTCAACATCTTCATCAGGCAATAACTCACTGATTTCACCAGAAGCCAGAACGTCATTAATCAAAACTAAATAAGATTCATCAGGAACTTGGGCATCTGTCATCAAGAAAACTATACCTACACTCTTCAGTCCTGCCTTAAGATATAAAGAGGCTATGTCGGTTTTCATATCGTTCATAGAGTAACCTTTTTTAAGCTGGATTTGGAATATTTCAAACGAGGAAATAAACCCTGCCAGTCTGGTTAAGGATTGCTTTCCGAATCCTCCTACACCAACCAGTAAAGCGTTTCCTCTTGGTGCTTCCAGAATTCGATTGATCCTGCAAATGTGGTACATGGCGTCTTCAAACAGCACTAAATTCATCGCCGCTACTAAATCGTTGTATCCAGAAAGAGCCTCGTGAAGTAAGTGAGTCAAACGATCAAATTCATTTAAAGGAAAGTATTTCGGGTCTCCTATGCCTTCAGCAAAATGACAGAATATCAGTGGTTTTTCGAAAATCACATTTTCGTCGATGTCCTCAAAACCTTTTTTGACAGTTTCGATCATAAGTTTGTTAAAAGTATCCATGTCCCGACGTTCAACAAGTTTGTCACCATAGACTCTGTAAGCTTCATGCATCCAAAGCCTTATAAAAGTGGCGTTATTAATGATAGCTGCCCCTGTGGTAAATAACATTCCTTGGAATATATTTGACAAGTCTCTCAGGGTGAAAATGTAATGAAACTTCACAGCTGTGGGTAAGAAGGTTTGGCCCATCTTACTGTGTAGTGTATAGGCAGCTTGAACAAGGGTTGGACATAATTTTTGAACCGCCATGTTGAATTTATAATGAGGGTTCTCCAGGTGCTGTCTAAAAATAGAATTGTAAATATGCAGGCAGTTTTCCTCTGAAGGAAAACTCACTGCAAACACGCAGAAATGTCTTTGTAATCTGGGATCGATGGTAAAAGACCCAGCGGTGGGGTTCATGCCAGAGATAAACTGGACATTATGGATTTCTTTCAAGGTTAACTTTTGACGATCGTACCAATGTTGGTAATCCATCCACTGTTTCAGAAGAGTGTGAGGTTGTACGGTGAAATACTTATCAACTTCAGGCATATTCATGTCATCTATAAAGTATATCATCGTTTTGTTTCCCGGAGGTCCGTATACTTTTCCAGCCTTTTTCTCCAAAGGTTTTTCCAGGATTCTTTGCAACATTTCAGAAGTGGTATAAAAATTAAACGGTACATTAGTCACAGAATATTGTTCAGTCAAGGAATTTAGTTTTTCCTGAATTATTACGGTTTTACCACTACCAGCAGGTCCAACCAACATCACAGGAACCTTCATGGAAACCAAGTGATCTACGAAAAATCTAATCCTGCTTGTTTCGGCGGTACTAACCAACGTTGCCTGCAGGGGAAGGTCAGGGTCCAGTTCAAATTCCGGTACTAGCTCGGTCCAAGGTACAAAACGTTTAGTTTCGGATTCGATATAATACTGAAAAACGTTTCCACCAATCGGGAATTTTACAGTTTTAAACTCGTTGGTAAACCATTTACTAAACTCGTTCCTCCAGTCGATGATCTGGTCTTGAAACAACGCTGAACCAAACGCCCAAACCACCGAAAAAGCGAAGTATATTTCGTACCACTCTTTGGGACAATCTGCCGGGACATTTTGAGGGGTTAGAAAACAATCCAGGAGACTACACAGCATTTGTAAGTGAGCTATGTCACTTATCGGGGTGATTTTTTTAACTTTTTTGTGAACAACCTCCAAACAGGGAGGAACATACTTATCGAATAAGATCATCAAGTTAGCCTTTTCGCTCTGGATAGTTCGGGTATCGATCCACGAAGCTACGAAAGGGTTCCAGCCTAAATCCGCTGGATTAATATAGAGTATTCCCGCTCTGGACACTGTAGCTGGAGTGGCAGTTCTTAGGTTTGCAATTTCAAACAGCAATCTCATGTTTCTCGTTAAAGCTATACGTTCGTTGCTAGCCAAGGTAAGTACTTTATTGTCATCCATCAACGTGTTTAGTGATTCAATCCACATAGGATCTATATCACCGTCAAGCACAATCCATTTCGGACCATCTCCAGACATGTTTGCTTGATCTCTCATGATCACTGAGAACAAGCCATCTTTCCATTCTCTAGTCGATGGATTTATTACCCCAAACAATTCATCGTTTGTCACAGCTTTAGGGTTAAGATCGTTATAAAAAGGTTTGAGTTTCAAACTACCGTAGGTTCTCATAAGGCACTTCCAGACCATAGATTTTCCAGTCCCGGCAAACCCGATAATGAAAACTGAATGTCTCACTGCAAATAATTCTTCTAACTGTACTATCTTAAGTACAAATCCTTCTTCAGGTTGTAACTTCATTTCAACCGCTGTCTTTTTGATCATTTTTTCAAAGTCCGGGTTTCTTTTCCTTGGTACGTCCAGAGCTGGAAACAAGTCACCTATCAACCCCATAAATACAGGAACGTCATCGGTGATGATTTTAGGAATATTAAAATCTCTCAGTGCCCTCATCAGTACTTGATCTTCCGGTCTTTGTTTGTCGCCGCGTTTCAAGGAACCTGCTACTACCAGTACAGACTTGATAGCTCTCAAACCCCAATCGTAATGATCCTGTTTACTGAGTAGTTCTTTACATAGGGTGTAGAGGGTGATGAATTTTCTTGCTAGTAGTCTGGCTTCTTGGAAACCTTCGGCGACCAACATAATTTCGCAGATCAAGGCGAAATCCGGTACTACCATGGCGCAGGGTCTGAACAGAGCCTTCAAGTTTTCTGGAAGTTCCGTTCTGCCGGCGTATCCGGGGTTCATCGTGATAAAGAGGCCAACCTAAAGAAAAATAACAGTTTTAAGGTCGAGACACGCTAGCAAATTATGTATCAATCCAAATAAACTTTTAGTCACGTGATTAAGCTGTGATTAAGTGACCGGCACAGCGTTGCCCACCTTTACATATTTTCTTTTAATCAAAATATTTTAGAAAACAAAAATAAATAAATTATAAATATAACCTCACCGGCAAAAAAAAAACGGCCACTAAAAACTAGACCCAATTTCAAAGTTAGATTTCTCGCGAACCACTCATTAGATTTTGATGATTTTTTTGTAAATTGTAAATTAATTCCTTTTTAACGGATGCTACTTCAGAAATTTTTATTGCAAATTTATTTAGAGCATATACAGGGCACAAAAATAAGACGAAGTTTTTTGCCCGAACTTTGTAACACCCTGTAGAGTGCAGCAGCTGTAGTAGCTATTGCTAAATTAAATCACATTGTAGTCTCATCTTTTGTGAACACTTTATTTTTTTAATCACCACATTATCTCTTTTTGTATTGGAGATATGCTGTTGAAACGAACGTCTTGAAAAAATGCTTCTGATGTTTGATTTGTTTTTAAAGCCGTTTTCGAGGTGTCTGTTTTAAAGCAGCGTATCTCCAATACAAACAGAGATAATGTCGTGATTGAAAAAACAAAATGCTCACAAAAGATGAGGCTACAATGTGATTTGATTTAGCAATAGCTACTACAGCTGCTGCACTCTACAGGGTGTTACAAGGTTCGGGCAAAAGCTTCGTCTTATTGTTGTGCCCTGTATATGCTCAAAATAAATTCGGAATAAAAATTTCTGACGTAGCCTCCGTTAAGAAGGAATTAGTTTACAATTTAAAAAAAAATCATCAAAATCTAATGAGTGGTTCGCGAGAAATCCAACTTTGATATTGGGACTAGTTTTTAGTGGCCGTTTTTTTTTGCCGGTTAGTTTGTTTTTCAATATAAAAATTACTCTTTTTCAACAACTATTTCAATTATTGTTGATTGCTTTATAAAATCCGTTAATACAATTAAAATATTATGTAGTTTTTAAATAAAAATAAGTAAACGTAAGTAAAAGAAAACCAAACAAACTGGAACTTCAGAAAATTCAAACAGGTTTTTTTGTGCACTTACGGTTGGAACCAAGTTGATATCTTGACCCAAAAACATAAATCTCTTCTTCTTATCTTTGATGGCGTCTTGAATGATTTTTACTTGTACCGCCACCACTGACAGTACTTCAACGGAAATTCTGTTGAACTCGTCGAAACAACCCCAGCAGCCGGTTTGAGCCAAACCCTGTTAAAACAACAAACGAAATTAATGAAAAATATCATAGAATCGAAAAAAAAACGGCGTTAAAAACGGCTGGGAAATGATAATCGATGATTATTTTGGTGAGGTCAAGCCCTAGACATCATTATTAAAAGAAAAAAAATTGACGCCGGGAGGCACGTATAGCCGCCCATACGTTCTTTTAGTTTCAATTATCTCAAAACCTGCGACTTTGACTGATTTTGATGTTATTACAAATTTTGTTGCAAATATTATTCCTAATCATAAATTGAAAACCGCGTTTCGCTAGCTACTGTAATTTTGGAGTTACGAATTTTTAAAGTTTTTAACCCCCTCCCATACCCCCTTACCAACCCCCCACCTCCGCCAAAATGTAATGGCCAGATTCTCGGGTGCCACAGTATTTTTGTGCCAAATTTGGTTAAAATCGGTTTAGCGGTTTTTGAGTTATCGTGTTACAGACAGACGGACAGACGGACAGACAGACAGACACCATAAAGATATTTTGTATTTAGGTCATTTATGACCCAGCATAATCTTAATAGCCTACCATACCTGTTGGTATGATCGGCTAAAAAGAATTAGAATAGAAAAAACCGAACGTAGTCCTTGTATAAATTGCTGAAAATTTATGGACCATTTCAGGAAATACGTGAAAACCAATATGGCGTCGAAAAATAATGACGTAACTACCATAGAATCGAAAAACAAACAGTTTAAAGTATACCTTGTAAATATTTCCGATTGATTTGTAATCCATTTGCTCGGAACAATTGAAGACGTATACCATCATGCCCAAGGCTTTACCCAAATCCTTCGTTGTTTCTGTTTTACCTGTACCAGCTGGACCTGCAGGGGCTCCACCCATTATCAAGTGCAAACTTTGGGTCAGTGTGATATAACACCTACAAAAGAATCACACAAAATGTAGTCTATCTGTCAAAAAAAGTGCTCACAAGGAAGAAAGAAAAAAACTATTTAAAAAATAAAATTACAGCTATTCAAGAACACTAGTTTTTTTTTCAACAAATATGTCTATAAAAACCGTTGATGTTCTTCACCATAGAACTTTTATGAATATCCGCCACCGAATTATAGAAATTTTTTACAATATAGTATATTCTGTTAAAATTATATTTTATAGCAATATCTGTGACATTTGACAGCGTATGACATGTTTGCTTATGAGTAATAAAACTTTATTAAATACCCTACAGGGTGGTCCGAACTATAATCCAGAAATATCGGCAGCACATTCTGCAGATAAAAATAAGTAAAAAACTTCGTACAAATGTATGTCCTAAAATGCTTAGTTTCGGAGATACAGGGTGTAGAAGTTTCATATTTATTTCGATTTTTTCTAAATAATTTCTGAAGTAACGCCAATATTTGGATAGAAATTGGTGTCTGGGAGTTTTTTGACATGACAAATTTGATTTTGATGTCAGTATGACTCCTACTTGTAGGGGACGCCAACTATTTTGAAGAATAATAACTTTTCGTCCGTACCTGTATAAAACTACTGAGTGAAAAAATATACATTTCAGTGACTTTTTACGTAAAAAATGTCTCTTGCTAAAAATTGCTACGCGCCACCGTTCTCAAGATATTTATTATTCATTATTGACAAAAAATAAACATGTTGAGTAGATAGTTATTTGACTGAAATGATAAATTTAGTAGTAATTTATATTAACTCTTTATTTTTTTTTAAATTTATCATAATCACAAAAACATTTCAAATTTATCATTTCATTCTAATAACTATTTAGTTAACATGTTTAATTTATGTCAATGATGCAGGTATTGATAATTTCGATTCCAAATATCTCGAGAACCAAGAGACCTTTTTTAGTTTGAACAGTTTGAACCACCCTGTATAATTTGCTTTTTTTAATAAATATGCTATCTCCAAAGTCATTTAACACTGAGACAAAATAAAATAAAGGCACTGCACCTACCGGTCCGTCAACGGTGTTATAACCAATCTCGGCGTGTTTCCCAAATATTCGTACGAATACCGGAACTGAGCGTCGCAAATGTTCGCGAAACAATCTTTTTCTTTCTCGTCCCAACGATGCCTCAGCTGGCTCTGCCACTGGAACGCCTGCGCGTTCTCGACTTTGACCATTATCATCTTGGCCACCACATCCCTGGAGTGCACGTCTATGGTGCAGATTGTCATGATTTTCTGTCTGTCGCCCGCTGTCAAGTCTGCTAGCAACAGGTTGATGAGGGCGCTCAATTGGTTGATTTGCTTTCTTTGGTAGTCTTTCAAGGCGTTCTCGTAGCCTTCTTCCAAGCGACCGAACGCCATGTTGACCTCGGTGGTCCACCAAATCTGAGTACCTAAATAAAGTTGCAAAAGATTACTATTTTATGGAAAGCACCGTTCATTAAAATGTTGTATCCTATGTTATAGGGCTTGTTTCTCTCTACAATTTCCTTCTTTTTTCCGGATACTTTCTAGACGGACTATACTTACCACACAATGCAGGCTGCGCGGGATAATCATAAATCCAAACCTCCCTAGGTTTTTCATCGTAAGTAATCACAGCCTCGGCGAACAGCTTGAGCAACGTCGCCCTCATCACATCGATCACACGGTTTAACCACATCTCCACTTTGCCACTGCAATCGCACACACTGGCGAACGGCACGTGCTCTTCGTTCTCCTTCGATATCATCTCTTTGGCCCTCTTTGAATTCTTGCCACCTTCCTGGATAAACACCAACTTCCCCAAAGAATCAAACAACTTCGTTAAGTGCCTCTGAATGAGATCTGGTTGGTTTCCATTTGACAGGATGTCAAGCAAGTCTGCAGAAGATACGAAATAAAACCTGGGAAATGCCAGGCGTTTTGTTTCAAGGTAATCGTTCAAAGCCTTCTCGCAAAGGGTGAGTTCGTTCAGTAAACCCTCGAGCTTTTCGTATAGTCCTGGCTTGTTAGTTGCTTTAACTATGTTGGGGGTTTTAAGCATTTCACTCAAAACGTCCTTAAATTCCCTGTCTATCCTATCAAATCTCTTTGAATCTTCGGGAAGTTGACTTCTTATATCCTCAGATCCAATGAATATACTCTCAAGATACATCCACTTCCTTTGTACTTCGAAATAGACTTGGATAACTTGATCAGCGTTGCCCAATTTCTTCTGCCATTCCGACACTTCACCCAGGAAGAAATCAATGAACTTGGAAGTCATCATGTTTTGTAAAGCCACCTGGTTTTCTTCCAGTGTTTCTATGGTTTCTTCGGAGATTGTCAGGATCCTGAGATGCGTTCTTTCGTGTGAGTCTGTACCAAACTCAAGCACATTCCAGGTAGCGTTCAGTTCTTTCAAAACCTTCTCCATTGCCATTTCTTTGACGGATTTATCCACTATATTTTTTACTTCGTCTTCGAATTCGTGTAAGTTCAAAGCCAGCAGGTCGCTGAGTGTGGTGTCGTCGTTCATCACGAACTTCACCTAAAGGAAAATGGACAAAAAAAAACGACTAAAAATTATTTTATTTTAGTTTATTTATAAAAGAATGTAGAAAAATAGATACAAATAATATTGATCTAGCCGGATAATTGTGTTAAATTGATGCTGATGTGATGTTTGAGTTTGCTTTTGTGCGTGACTATGTGCTGGTCGAGTGATCTTTGATTTGTGAAGCGGGCTGTACTCACTTGGTTCACTAACGCCGTCAATTTTGCTCCAAACTGTATGGATGCATGTAAAAATAAATAGTGTATATAGGTATAATGAGAACCGGTAACCCTTTTTTGAAAACGTGGATTTTACAAAAGGGCCATGTGCCAATCTGACAAAATTATTTTAAGCGTTACAGTGTTGCCGCTTCGTTTTAAAAGTGGTAGGATCTTTGTTTTTTTTTATTTTAAATGTTAAAACATCCACAATAATAATAATTACTTCCATTTGTTATAAAGCTCAAATCTTGGTTATTTTAAATACAACTCTATTTATATTATTTCAAAACTCAAAAAACTTATACAAATTATTAAGATTTTTAAAGTAGAGTTATTTAAAAATGAATAATTCTATTATTATACTTCCATTTCAAGAATTTCGTTACCATGACAATATTAGAAATTCAGCAAGTAAAATATAATTGATACTTATACAGGGTTGTTCACCACATACGACACGGAGTATTGTAGTTAAACGATTAGATTTTTACAAATTGTAAGTTTTGGGTTCGTTGAAGGACTATTAGAGCTACAATTTAAAAATATTTTTACAAGATACAGAGTGTCCCATATAAATAAAAAATATCAAAGTTGTATTTTTTTAAATGGAACACCCTGTATATTATTACATTTTTAGTTTCTACGATTAAAATAAAGGTAAATTTGATTAAGGTTTGTTAATAATACTCGTAAAACTGACTAGAAAGTGTTTAGTGTGTGAAAGTTCTAATATAAAGGTCCCCGAATTATCTTTTCATACGCAAGTAAAAGTATTCAGTTGTTCTTTTATTTATATTAAACCACACGCATACTTTCTGGTTAGATTTCCTAGGAACATTGATATTCGTACGGAGTGTAAATGTATTTTTTATATAATTTAATTTTTGTGACAGTAAACGTTTAATTTATTGTTCAAATATATACATTTTCCAAATTAAATTTGTAAAATTAATGTTCAAATTTGGCGCGCGGACGATAGGTCCTCGACTAGGGTAGATAGAATAGAATGCAACAAAAAAAGAAGTTAAATGGGAGTCGTTGATATGTTTGCGACAGTTTCCATAGCGATTTACTTATCCACGTAAGTATATATGATCTGGGGTTGTGTAACTTGATATTTATAACCTAAAAAAATAACAATTTCAAACGTACCTTCGTAGCTTGCATCAGCTGAATCCAATGCCTGTCCCTTATAGCCGGGTTCTGCAGCTCCGTCACTGCCCTAAGCGACGTCAGCATGTTCTTAATAGACGCGTCCATCTGCACGTACGCATCCCATCCCTTAATTTCCTTATCCATCTGCCTCATCTCCTTTCCATACTTCTTACACTCCATCTCCATGTTCTCCACGTCAATCTTCTTCCAAGGCGTCAACTTCCACTCGTCAATGCACGACATGGCAACGTTGTCGAAGTCCCACAGCTGCTTCAGTTGCTTTAGTTCCTTCCTGCAAGCCTTTAAAGGTTTGAACTCGGGCAAGGTTAGTTCAAACAGGTTTGCCTGTTCTTGAAGTTTGTCTCGTTCGGCTTCCAGTTCGAAGAGTTGCGAGTGGGTTTTGTCGAACAGGCGGTAGATGTCGGGGCAGTTGAAGTTGAAGAAGCGGAAGTTTTTGAACTGTTCTCGGTACATGTTCTGTCGGATTTCGAAGAGATTGATGCGCCGTTTGATGGCGTTGACTTGGAGGGCTTGGAGAGGTCCCACGGTTTGTTTAGTCGTTGCAGCCACCTGAAATAGAAGAAAATGTAACACATAGTAAGAGAGCTAGCAACGTCTGGAAAACAAGTACACGTGATCAACTTTGATTGACAAGCGATGGCCACAGCGCTGCCAGATTGTGATGGATTTATGAGATGAATCTGAATTTAAAAGTGACAAACAATATATTTATTATTATTAAGGGAAAGGGAAAGGGAAAGGGAAAGGGAAAGGGAAAGGGAAAGGGAAAGGAAAGGGGAAAGGAAAGGGAAAGGGAAGGGAAAGGAAAGGGAAAGGGAAAGGGAAAGGGAAAGGGAAAGGAAAGGGAAAAGGAAAGGGAAAGGGAAAGGGAAAGGAAAGGGAAAGGGAAAGGGAAAGGGAAGGGAAAGGGAAAGGAAAGGAAAGGGAAAGGAAAGGGAAAGGGAAAGGAAAGGAAAGGGAAAGGGAAAGGAAAGGGAAAGGAAAGGGAAAGGGAAAGGGAAAGGGAAAGGGAAAGGGAAAGGGAAAGGGAAAGGGAAAGGGAAAGGGAAAGGGAAAGGGAAAGAAAAAGAAAAAGAAAAAGAAAAAGAAAAAGAAAAAGAAAAAGAAAAAGAAAAAGAAAAAGAAAAAGAAAAAGAAAAAGAGAAATAAATACCTTCTTGCACTGGATCCATTTATCCGGCAATTCGTGCAATTGCACTGTGACTTCTTCGGGAAATTCAACATTATACTCCTTCAACAGATCCATGATCTGCTTCAACGGTTCGAACATGGCATCAGTGTCGACCTGTCGTTCTTTAACTTTAAATAAGTAACCCATGACTTTGATCAGCTCATCGTAGTCATCTTCGGTGAGCGGGGTCTGCATGGCGGCTATCGCTTCTTTGATGAAGTTCTCCAACTCGTCGATGCTGTTGATGACTCTTTCGTAGAGGTGTTGCTTAAACAGGTTGCCCCATTTGCAAACCGCATTCAGGATGGCTTGACGCAGAGGCTTTACGTCGACACGCAGCCAGGGGAATATAGGTTTTTCGGATGGTATTTGTTCTACCTGGTGCAACAAAAATATTAGACTTAAACTCGGTGATTCTCAACAGTGGCTCATCCCTATAACTTTTATATTTTTTCTGGTAAAAAAAACGAGATTTGGTATGTTAGTATATGACATAAATCAAGATTGATTAATGTATTCAATTGTTTTAAGTAATTTCTTGGGAAATGTGAAAAATTTTGAAAACACCCTGTATAATTTTTTAAAAATTTTCAAAATATGCAAAGAAACAAAATAAATTATGCCTGTCCAAGCGTTTTTCCGAAAGACTAACCGTTTTTTAAATAACAAATATTGTAATATTGGAGGGGTGATTTCACCCTCTTGGAATTTGAGATTCGAGAAACCCCCCTTCTCGAACCTCTACACCCCACAGTCAATCCGTTTGCCGAAAATCAGCTTTAAACGTCAAGCAGTTTAAGCAGAATCGTGATTACTCAATGGTCGTATTTTATGAGACACCCTGTGTATTTTTTTAAAAAATCTTAAAATACGTAAAACAACAAAATAAAATATACATGTTTAAGAGTTTTTCCGAAAAACTCACCAGTTTTTAAATAAAAAATATTCTAATATTTGAGGGGTGGTTTCACCCCCTTAGAATTCGAGTTTCGAAAAACCCCTTCTTATCGAACCTATACACCCTAAAGTCAATCCGTTTTCAAAAAAATCAGCTTTTTACGTCAAACGCTTTAAGCAGGATCGTGATTAATCAAAGACCAGATTTTTCGAAACACCCTGTATACATTTTTAAAAATTCTTAAAATATGTAAAAAACAAAATAATATACACGTGTTTAAGCGTTTTTTTTCGGAAACTTGACCGTTTTTTAAATAAAAAATATTGTAATATTCGAGGGGTGGTTTCACCCCCTTGGAACTGGAATTTCGAAAAATCCCTTCTTATCGAACCTCTACACCCTAGCTAGAATCAACCTGTATGCCAAAATAGAGTTGTTTACGTTGAGTGGTTTGAGCGGGATCGTGATTAATCAGTGAGTCTCTTAAGGTTTTTATATATTAGTATAGATTTAGTAACTTGCTTTAGCTACTTGACACGTGTAAATTAGGCATTAGTTTTTTTGTTCGTTAGTCCGTTACCTTTTTGTATAAATCTTCGTAATAATCGATTTGTTCCTTGAACTGCTTGATCGTAGGCGGCGCCTCTTTGACAGCTGACTCTCCCCCTTCCGCAACCATATCCAATTCCTCCAGAGTCAGCAATCGTCCGTAGAGCAAGAACTGCCTCAAGAACTCTTGCCGATCCTCCTCCCATAACGTAAAATAGTCCTCAAAATCTTTCAGGAAATGTGAAGCCGCCTCCATGGCCGATACAGTTTTACTAAAAATGTCATTTTTCTCTCCTTCTCGAGCTTGGTCTTCTTTAACCAGGTCGTAGTACGTTTCCGGTTTATCCGGATCGGAGTAGCCGATGTGCGAGCAGGTTAAGTAAATATCTTCCAGCAAATCTATGGACAAAGATTTTCTTAAAAATACAATATTAAATGGGGAACTTACCTAAAAAAAATATTATTAATTTTGATAGACAGTGGAAAATAGACACATATTTTTTTCTTTTTTTCGCACGTTGAATATTGGCAGAAATATAACGTTTTGAAAAAATTGCTCCCCCCCAAGCGTGGTGTATGGACGTCACGACACGCCTCAGTATATCTACAGGGTGGTCCAAACTGTGTTCCGGAAACTTCGTCAGCATATTCTGCAGATAAAAATAGGTAAAAAAGTTCTGATAAATGTATATCCTAAAATGGTTCGTTTCGGAGATAGGGGGTGTAGAAGTTTCATTTTTATTTCGATTTTTTCTAAATAATTTATGAAGTAACACCAATATTTGGATGAAAATTGGTGTCTGGAAGTTTTTTGGCATGAGTAATTTGATTTTGATGTCAATATGACTCCTACTTGTAGAGGGCGCCACTTACATATTTTTTTACTGGTTTGAAGAGTAATAACTTTTCGTCCGTACCTGTATAAAACAAGTGAGTAAAGAAATATAAATTTACGACATTTTTTACGTAGAAAATGTCTCTTGGTAAAAACCGCTACGAGTAATGGTTCTTGAGATACTTGGAATCGAAATTATCAATACATATCATCATTGACATAAATTAAACATGTTGACTAAACAGTTATTAGACCAACATCATAAATTTGAAATGTTTTGTGCCAAAAGTTTTTCGCAGAAAATTTTTTGATTGATTTAAAAAAATAAAAATTTTCCAAATTTATTATTTTAGTCAAATTACTATCTACTCAACGTGTTTATTTTTTGTCAATAATGTCAGTTAAAACATATATAGGTGGCGCCCCCTACAAATAGCAGTCATATTGACATCAAAATCAAATTTCTCATGTCAAAAAACTCCCAAATACCAAATTTCATTCAAATATTGATGTTATTTCAAAAATTATTTGGAAAAAATCGAAATAAACATATAACTTGAACTAAACTGGTAGTATAGTTCAACCCCAGAAACACGCCTATGAGGTTTTTTCAAAAAAAAAAATTCAGAATTTTTTTTAGTTAAAAAACATAATTTCTTGATAATATGGCAACATAGGTATTAGATTAAATTTACAAGAAAAAAAATCCAGAAAAGATCTAGTGGTTCTCAAAATTTTAGCAAAAAATCATTTTTTTTTGGAAATTTTCCTTATATATTATATAGCCGCATTGACCGAAAATCATTCCTGCCCAACACTAGCCGCATTTTCGTCGATGCGATTCGTGCGGCTCTGACGAGTGTGCGCATCTTCATTGAAACTAACACAAACAATATTTTCCTTTGGTCGATGCGGCGCGGGCGGCTCTGGTCAGTGTGCGCGTACCTTAACGTGCCACGACCAAAAATCACCCTGTATACTCACCTTCAATAAACGTGAGAAAATTCACCGGTTCGTCCAAATCGATCGAAGGAATGAACACGATGTTGGGTTCGTGCAGTTCCATCACAAGTTCCAACAGAGGAGAAGCATTGGCGTCGTACATTTCGGTCAAGAAGCAATCGTGATTGAGGCGGACGCCTGCCAGAATTATATCTTTAATCATATCGTCCAAATTCTTCAAGTACGGTTTCCACATTTCGACTTTTTCCGCTTTAATTCGTTCTTCCTCTTCTTTTTTCGCCGCTTCCTCCGCCTCTTTCAACATTTCTTCTGGCGTTTTCTGTTTTTTCTTCTCTTTCTTGCCTTTCTTTTCTTTGACTTTTTTGCCTTTTTTCGGTGGTTCCGGTTCGGGTTCAGGGGGAGGTTCTTCTTCTATAAGTAAAAATATATATTGCGTAAAAAAGGATCTAACAAGAGTAGATTTCTTGTTAATGGGTTTTATGCAAAGTATATAAATCTGGAAAAACATTGTGTCGAGACTTGCATTACAATGAGGTTATTTAATAATTTTAGATGTTTACAGAAAACCCACAAATACAGACGGATACTTAAATTTCACATCTAATCACAGTATAAGTGTAAAAAAGTGTTAAAATTTAAAAGTATAAATTCATTTTTTTTTAAATTTAAATTATGTTTGTTTTAGTCCATTATTGCTCTATCAATCAATTAAACAGATAATGTCTACACAGTGATTATACATATTTACCGAAGCCCGAGTAATTATTATAATTGATTGAGGTAAAATAGTTTTATTGATGTTTGTCTTGGGAACTATCAATTAATTCATTAATTGATACCAACGATAATTTCATTGTACAGTGTGTTCCATTTTAAAAATCATAAAAATTTAAACTATAATATTGAAAATTATCCAAATACCATATTAATACAATATTGTATGTACACTAAGATGCAAAATAATAATTTATAGATTTATCAACTTTAATTCGCAACCTCAGTTTATTATAAATTTTAGTAGCTCACTTATTATAAAAGACTAGCGTGTACCACCGACTTCATTCGCGTCGAATTAATCATTTGTAGTGGTGATGATAAAGCAAAGCAAAAATTTCCATTAACATACAAACTGGATAAAATTTTCTCACATTTATGTCAGCATGAGAAAAAACAATATGGCGATATTATTATATAAATAAATAAATAAATAAATGCCTTTATTGTCAAAAAATGTTTCAATTTGTAGACAAAGGTAAACTAACAAACAAAGTAAAAAAAAAACAAGGTACACAAACAAACAAACAAAAGATAATACAAAACATTATACAAATAATATTGTCAGTCTTATTGTTAAAATAAACATTTATAAATGTTTACAATGTCAAAGAACAAAAAAAATTAAAATAGTATTTAGCCAGTTTATAGCAAAATATCAATGACCTCTAAATAAATTAATTTCGATGTCATTAGTAAATATAAATATAATATAACTTGGTAATATTTGAGGGGTAGTTTCATCTCGTTGGAATTTGATTTTCGAAAAATCCGTTTGCCAAAAATAAGCTTTTTACGTCAAGCAGTTTAAGCAGAATCGTGATTAAGAAATTACCAAACTTTTTAGAACACCCTGTATGATTTTTTAAAAAATTTCAAAATATGTAAAAAAAACAAATAAATTATGCGTGTCCAATCGTTTTCCCGAAAGACTAACCGTTTTTTAAATAACAAGTATTGTAATATTTGAGAGGCGTTTTCACCCTCTTGGAATTTGAGATTCGAGAAACCCCTCCTTATCGAACCTCTACACCCCACAGTCAATCCGTTTGCCAAAAATCAGCCTTAAACGTCAAGCAGTTTAAGCAGAATCGTGATTACTCAATGGTCATATTTTATGAAACACCCTGTATAGATTTATAAAAAATCTTAAAATATGTAAAACAACAAAATAAAATATACGTGTTTAAGAGTTTTTCCGAAAAACTCACCGGTTTTTAAATAAAAAATATTTTAATATTTGAGGGATAGTTTCACCCCTTTAGAATTCGAGTTTCGAAAAATCCCTTCTTATCGATTCTTAACCAAGGCATGTGTTGATATGAGTCAAAAAAGAAAATGCTCAGGAGAGATGGTTCTGATCGAATAATAACGTTTATGAAAACTTACTCACGCATTTATTTCACAGGATGTTCTAAAATTAAGGTAAAAAACAACCCTTCAATTAACACTGTATAATATGCCAAATACTAAGGTTTATAAATAACTGAGTTTATGAATTGAAGTTGATAGATTTATTTACATTTTGCTAAAATATTCATAAAAATAGGGCTAAAAATAAAAAAATATATAACACTTTCAACTTGACCAAAAATTTCTGAAAAAATCTGAGTGTTTAGCAGTTATAGAGTTTTCATAGTTATTATATTAACATATACCTGGTGGAGGTTCATCAGGAGCAACAGGCACGTTGAACAGCAAATGGTAGTTGTCAGCAACCGTTCTTTCAAGTTCAGCCGCCGAAGCCACAACCTGATCTTTTCTTCTCTGAAGTCTTTCAGCTCTATCGTCAAGCTGAAGAAGGTTCTCCTTCTTTCCGTCTTTCCTTTCAAAGAGAGGCTGTTGAGCCCAGGTGTTGATGTTGACCAGGAGATTCTTCACGTTGAGTTGAGCCTGCCTTACTCGGTCGTACAAGCCTTTCACTTGATCGTATATATTGACGATTACGTTTTGATCTGTGGAAATAAAAATCTATTTCCAATCTACTTTAAATAAAATTAAATATAAGCGATACCAATTAAACTTTTAGTTTCGAGGGCGCGATTTTTAGATTCATTGTTGCCAACCATTGACATATTCGGCGATTTATCTATTCTGTAATTTTTATGGGAATATATTGAGGACAGTGTTTCGAAAACACTACAAGAGAAAGGATTTTGGCTGTTGTTAGTTGGGGGCAGTACTTTTTATTAAGGAAAAATCCAGACTTACTCAAAATACTTAACAAAAAAGCTTAAAGCAAGTACAAAAACACTGTTTAAACCTACCATTAGTATCCCAGGTACAATTGCTGATAACCTCTTCCAGCAACCCATCGATCGCATCAACCTCGCCAGCTACCAAATTGTACTCCACCTCAGTAGTCTTCTTCTTCAAATAATTGTAATACTCGATAATCCTGTTCAGCTTCAACATCGCTTCCCTCAGCTCCTCCACCCTTTCAAACAGCTGCACAGCTTCAGGAGGTAAATCTCCCACGTCCATGTCCCTCAAATACTTCACTTCCCTCAATGTCGCTTCTAACTCATTATCGAAATTCAGTTTCAACAATTCACTTCCTGTTCTAATCAGCTGAAACTTTGACATGCTTGCTTTTATTTGGTCGGGTACTTTGTGATACCATTCTTCCAGGATTCTGTGCTTCTCTTTTGTGAGAATTTCTTGAAGTTCCTCCAGTTTCCTAAAAGCCTGTTGGGTATCCTCGCTGTTGACCACTTCGTGCTCAACCAGTTTTAACTCTTCACCGGGTTTGGTCACTCTCTTATACAACCTTTCAAGCCAGAGGATGCTTCCAGCTACAGGAGGATAGTTTTTGTCTATTTGAACACCTTCTTTGTTAGCTTTGTCGTACAATTCCTTCACTGTATCCAGTTCTTCGTTGAACATATCAGTTAGAACAGTGTATTTTGCTGTAACCTGATCGCTGATATAGCTTCTGGAAAATAGATTTCCCGCAACATTTAAGTACTTGAACATGGACTCCAGGTTGTAACAGTCATCGAAAGCTTGAGTAAATACTGCGGCCAGTCGTTTATCGAAATCTGCACACATCTTCTCAAACTTCTGACAATCTTTCAAAAAATAATCTTCTTTGGTGTTTAATACGTCATACTGGATATTTTGGAACAAGGTATAAGCCCTGTTAAACTCGTCGAAAACCTCCAAACACTTTGTAGAAAGATTCCTCCCCTTAATTCCTCCAATCTCGACCTTTTCCAGCTTACTGAAATCCAGAAACGTTTGCAAAATGCCTTTGACCAGATTCAATCGATCCAAAAAGTCAATTAGTCTCTGGAAAACGTTTCTTCGATGGAAATTCCAGGGTTTATGTACGGGGATCTCTTCGGTACTCTCCGTGGGGTCTTTGTAGTACGAATCCAGGTTCGCGCGGACGTGCTCGAACGCGTCCTGGAATTTGTCGAGGATTTTCGTGGCCGTGTCGATTTTCTCGTACATCTCGTCGGGTTCGCCTTGGAACAGACTGCTGGGGTCGAGAGCTCGTTCTGCGCAGTCGATGAGCAGGTTGCAGACCATTTGGAAAAGGGTGACTATGCGGTCTGCGCGTGCGTAGTATTTGGAGTTGGCCCAGAAAAGGCCTATGACGTGTACCTAGGGAAGAGAAAAGATAATGTCAAAAATAGTTTTGTGCACTGAATAAATTAATTTGTAAATTTAATATAAATATTGATGGTTATTTCTTGCCACAGATTATTGTAGTAAATTTACCATCCGTTCTTTAGTTTTACAACTCGTTTTGAAACTCGCTGTGTGGCTAATTTGTGGCATGTATGTAAATATGTTATAATATATCTTTATTTTAACCAATATTCTTTATGAATTTATGTAAAAAATGTGTATCTCATAGTAAATTTACTTATTCATTGTAAATTTATCTTTTAAAATCGCCAACTTATTGTACCAGATGGCCAATTAAGAATGGACGCCAGCTGTATCTTAATCAGAAACTACTTATAGTATAACTTTGGGAAAAAAATTCTAATAAGTAAATCAATCAAGAGAAATCGCTGGAAATTATTTTCTAGTTCGAAATATGTCCGCTAGGGGACGTTTCGCTGATAACCAATCAGAAAACAGGGTTTTTCTCAAAAATATGCAGGTGAACAGGTATTTTAAATATTACTATTGTAATCATCGAGAAATTTGTATTTTTTTTGTTATAGGGTGTTTTGCTCTAACTCATAAAATTAAGTGGTGGGGGAAGGTTAAACTTGCTTTATTAAAATAAGGATAACTCTGGTTTAGGTTAACCGATTTCAACAAACTAGGGCTCGTTTAAAAGAGCTTTTCTTCCTTAATGATCTCCAGTGTAAATTTTGTTTCAATCATTTTTTTCGTGGTAGCTAGAGGGCGCTGTTTGACATCATAACAGAAAACGGCCAAATTTCGTATGGCCGAAAACTAAGGGTTTATTTCATGTAACGTAATTTAGCTCTTAACCCAAGTTCGTCCTTGATTTCACTTGTTTTCGTGTTTTACCTGTTGTTTGATTTATTTATTATTGTATTATAAAGTTTATGTCGTTTGGGTCACTTTTTATATAGCCCCGAAGGTACGAATGTTAACAATATGCACCACTGGTCCAAATTTACCCTTGATGCAAGTAGTTCAGCACCAAGACCTTTGGTCGGTACATGTTTAGGCAGGAATTCTAAGATGGCGAATGATTATCTGAATGAAATGAACTATCCATAATGTCTAAGATAATTTTTAAGAGATGAATTGCCAATTTTGTTAGGGGATCCATCATGATGAAAATGCATTTGTTGCAATTTCATCAGCATGAATGCAGCTGGTGTAGATAATGCAGTTTGGTGCAGTTGTGTCGCATATTTTGCTATGAATGTGTGGGGCTTCTTGGATACCACTTACTTTAGTAGTTAGAGACGCTGGAGCGGCATATTTCCATGGCTAGCTAGGTCATCGGATTCAATATGCCTGGGTTTTAATTTCATTAAAACGAACATGGATAAATAACAATTAAATGGTATTAAAATGAAATTAAAATATATGTTTTGATATTTTAACGTAACCAATTTACCTCTTTCTGTTTCCTAGCCTACTACTATAATTTTTAAACTATACAGGGTGTTTCAAAACAAATGCGAAAAACTTCAGGGGGTGATTCCTTGTTCAAAATAAAGGGTAGTTTGCTTTATAAACGTTGGGTCAAAAGTCAACCATTAGGGAGATATCACGGTACAAAGATGGCGGAAAAATAATGTTTTTATTTTTTATCTTGAAAACGAAAAGAGATAGACCAATGAAATGTTACGGAAGCATTACTGTTATGAAAACACACTTTCTGGTAATTTTTTCACTTTTTTAAAATGAGTGGAAGGGGTTGAAATAAACTACCCCTATCATTCTTGTTAATGAAATTTAAAGAAAAGTCTTATCAAACACATGCAAAAAAAAATAATTTTGATAGTTTAGTTTATTTAGAAACTTTTTAGCTCTTGTGTTTTTTGATAAAACTCACCGATTTGAAATTAAAAATAAAATGTAAAGCATTACATGTCAGAACAAAAAACATTTTTAGATAAAGAATCTAGTGGGCAGCTGTAATTTTTTTAGGAAAAAATCTAGTCGGCCGCTGTCACTTTTTAGGATGTTTCTAATATTGTTTTATTTGACATTACCCTACTGCAATACGTTATTATCTAGATTATTATTATTATCATTATTATCACTAGATTCTTAATCTAAAATAAATTTAGCCCTGACATGTAATGCTTTACATTTTATTTTTTAATTTCAAATCGGTGAGTTTTATAAAAAAAATACAAGAGATAAAAAAGTTTCTAAACAAACTAAACTATCCAAATTAATTTTTTTGCATGTGTTTGATAAGATTTTTCTTTAAATTTCGTTAACAAGAATGATAGGGGTAGTTTATTTCAACCCCTTCCACTCATTTTAAAAAAGTGAAAAAATTACCAGAAAGTGTGTTTTCATAACAGTAATGCTTCCATAAAATTTCATTAGTCTATCTCTTTTCGTTTTCAAGATAAAAAATAAGAACATTATTTTTCCGCCATCTTTGTACCGCGATATCTCCCTAATGGTTGACTTTTGACCCAACGTTTATGAAGCAAACTACCCTTTATTTTAAACAAGGAATCACCCCCTGAAGTTTTTCGCATTTGTTTTGAAACACCCTGTATAATCCTAAGCGGCAGCCTAACATAATTTGTTCTCTTAATATCTCCGGTTAGAGACAAGATAGAAAATTGCGGTTTGCGCTGATATTTTGGAAATTTTGTGCTCTATTTAACTGTGTAAAGAGAAATATAGCCTCCTATTTAATTTTTTTATGCAACTGCGGAATATCTGTTATGATGTCAAACAGCGACCTCTAGCTACCACGAAAAAAATGATGGAAACAACATTTACACTGGAGATCATTACGGAAGAAAAGCTCTTTTAAATGAGCCCTAGTTTGTTTACATCGGTTAACCCAAACAAAAATTGTTTTCAGTGTGTCCAATGAACTTATTTTTAAGCTAAAAATCAGTAGTAGTTCTATGTCCAGGGAACATTGGGACACCCTGTATAACTATTTCTATCCACGGTTTTCAGGATAAATATTACCGATCTTTTTTTATACCTGTAGGTATCTAAATTATTCAAAATTAAACATTAGGTAGGCTTATTTTTAGCTGAAAAAAAAGTAATTACCTGAGAGGTTTTAACCGAAAAATAATGTACCTCCATCTTTTCCATGAAAACATCTCAGAAATTCCGTCTTTTTTTTGCTCGCAAGGGAAACAAAAAATTCTCCCCTGCGGGCAAAAATTGGAATTTAAAAAATGTATAACATCTCTTTCATCAGCCGGTCGACTTGAGAATAGGAGGAGTATCTCGACCTATGCAATGTTAAATTGGAGAGAGTATAGAACAGCTTCTGTATAGAAAAATATGTCTTACGTGTGCCGTTTTTTTTCCTTCTTAGGTCATTGAATTGTTGTTTTATTTGCAATATGTGTTAATTAATTGTATTAGTAATTAGCAAACTGTGGTACTATTGATTCTTTGTATACTCACTAAGGTGAGTCAAAAAAATCGACTACTTTTTTCACTTTATACTCTGAAAAAAAGATTGGTATACACCTTTGAATAAGAAGACTAAGGAAGGAGCATACCAAAAATCTTAGGTACACCGCGATGGGCCTCAAATATGGCCGACTTAAATTCCGGTTTATCAGTGTCGTTCTAATTTTATTTAAAAAATGTAAAACTATGATGTAGGGTAGACGTGGGGTAGACTCAATAATTTGTTGTTTTATTTTACGTTGTGAATAAATGTTGGTAGTTATTAAAATTGTTATAAAAATATATAATTCTAATAAAAATAGATAAGTTATAATAAGTATTTATTAACACAAACATCCGATACGCTACTGAAGTAGGTAAGTCAAATTAACGTATCTAAATTCTTTGACATCTAATCTTTGACAAGTAATAAATAAAAGCTAAAATGCAAGAAAAATATATAATTTAGTTAATTTAAGTGAATTTCATAAATGATCGGTTTACTACACGTATGTATATTATATAGCCACTTACTAGCGAAAAGTTGTTCCATTATTTCACTCAATTTTTGCCGAGATCTACCGCACGCTACACAACCAACTATTTCAGAGCCTTTTTCGATAAATCGCGATAGTGTCACTGTTAATTTAAGTTCTGCCACAATTTCCATCTAGATTTACTACCTTTATACAACTATCAGTAGTAGAATAAATAATAAATAACATAAAATAAGCTTCCTAAAGACTGACAAATCTACAAAATTTCAAATCAAATTCAAATGTGTCAAATGAATCGTCAAACAGAACTGTCAAGGATCCCCACCCTAGAGAGCTATTATGGTGGCTTTTCCGCCCACCATGCATGTTTACATGGATAGCATTATGCTCCTTCCTTAGTCTTCTTATTCAAAGGTATACACTTAATAGTATATTATTGAACGAGCAATTTATGCTAGCCATTATTCACGCAGGACGGCGTTTGTCACCCGAGTGAATAATGGCTATAAATTGCGAGTTGAATACTATACTTTGTCCACGGCCATTACAATAACTAGGAAGAGTGTTTGAATTTGTATTTTTAATGTTAATCTTACTATTAATTATCGTATTCATGTCTTAGAGGAAAATGTCACTACCTACTTAAAATTTGGCAACTTCAAACGTCAAAATTAACTAAAAGATAATAAAAACGTCAATATCATCAGTTGCTATGCATCGAGAGTCAGTCATCTCGGACTATTCTATTTTCAAATATTTGGGAAGTTTATTATTAGATGTGTTTTACGACATACCTGTATATTAGTACTTTTTTCTACCACCTTTAGTAAAATAAATTTGTTGAAAAATGATAGATCGTAGCACCACCAGCTGACTTTTTGTTGTTTTGTGTAACTAAAGTTGGTAATTTGTGCTTTATTTATCGTTATTTGAATTTTATTGATGCTGCTTCAAGTTTTTTGCAATAAAACATACTTCTATCATCTTTAGTTAAGTACAGGGTGGATCATTTTGGTTGTTTCTATAGGCTATCTAGGAAACCGTGAGAAATATTCAAATTTTGATACTGCAGTCTCGGGTTCTTTTTTTGATTAAAAGGCAACAAAGTTAAATTTGTTAAAATTACAAAGGCGCTAACGGATCGTGGCTATCTTGATCGGTTTCGAAGCTACAGGGAGATTCTCAAATTTTGTACTTTTTGAAGATGTTCGATAGTTTGTTTATTTCAGCAACCACGGAAAATTGAATTATACGAAAAAAATAATTGAATTTTTTCGAAAAAAATATTTTTTGAGATATTAACTATAATTACGTTTTTTTATAGAACCCCCTGTATATTTTTAAATTTTCTTATTCAGCTTGGCATGGGCTTCTCGAAAATATATAACACTCTATATTTATTTTCACTATTAACCTCAACATTTCAAATTTTTCTTAAAATATACACTTAGTAGATAGTAGGCCGCGTCGAGTAACAAAGTAAACGGTTGTCATGGTGATCGCGACATACCTTTGATGGATGCGTTACATTTCATTTCAACAGATTGAAATGTGTGTATTTTAAATAATAAAAAAAGTAGTAAATACCGAGATATATAATTTTTCTTTCCCAATAATAAGGAAAAAATAGAAAACTGAATCAAACCTTCCTATTAAAATTAAGAGCTCATACTTGGAGAGAATTTTTTTGAGATGTCTACCAACCTTTTTTTCAGAGCAGAAATTGGAAAAAAAATAGTCGATTTTTTTGACCCACCCTAATACTCACCATAGGGTTCACATATGGTTCAGTATCCAGAAAGTCATTTTCTTCAAATCTGTTGATATGGGGCATCAAAGCTTTCAGACATTTGCAAATGTCTCTTGACTCCACTAGTGCGGCAACAATGTTTTTAAACAGGGTTTGAAACGCATTTGCATAAGTACTTTTCGTTAACTCCAAATATTCTCCCATTTTCTAAAAAAAATTTAAAAAATTAGTCAAAAATTCTATAAAAATTATCTTCACTCAGTGATGCCAATTCGTGGGAGATTTCGAGATCCATGGAGAAAGGGATATTTTAACTTTTATGAAAAATCTTATTAAGAAGATTTTATGCTCCCTTTGTGCTAGTTTATATTTTTTGAAGTGACGATGGAGAAATTCTGTTTTAGTAATCATTTACCTTGACTCTTGGATCACAAAGCTGATCATATATCGACTCCAGATTCTTGTTTCTGGCAATCCAGAAGTCAGACTCATTCCTTGGTACTGGATAAGGTTCGTCAGCATAACGCAGTAAAGTGGTTTGATTCAAAATTTCATTACACGTCGTTGACCATTTCATCACAGCGTTTTCCATGGTGGCTTTCAAAGAGACGTTGACTTCAGCACCGTCAGTGTCTATAAAGGTCTGCGTGGACTGGAACACTGAAGACATGCCTTGGGGCATTGGGAGCACCACTTGGCTCTTCATTGCGCCTTTGATCTACAAAAAAATATTTAAACACAATCTGGAAGAGAAGATGAAGAAAATTAGGCAAAGAAAATAAACTCCTACTCTAGGTGTGAAATAAATTTAAACAAAACAAAATTATTGAAAGATTATCAGCAAACAACATATTGAAAATATCAGGATACAAGTGGAAGATCAAAATATAGAAAGGGTAGAATTTTTTAGAATGAGTGGGAGGGGGGTTAATCACTTCGACCTTACAGATCCATTGTGTCCCCCTTTCTTGAATCATAACTCATCATACAGTCCCAGGGCTTTGACAAAAGCCAGTATCTGGGACGGTTTTATAGAGGGTAGTTCTCCATCTCCAATATCAGTCGTACCAAAATTCATGGCACGAATGGTTGTCGTCTCGGCGCACTCAGTGATGAGGTGTACTGGTGTTTCACCATCTTCCCCACAGAGTCTGCATTCGCCGTTTCTTCTTAGTTTCAATCTACTAAGGTGTTCATTGAGGAGACAGTGTCCTGTTAAAAACCCCGTGACAATCCGAAGATTGTTCTTACTCAGACCCAGGAAGATCTGTGATTTTTCTTGATCATAAGCCCTCAAAAACTTCTTCGAGTGTCCTAGACCATTGCAAGATTTCCATTCCAGGTTGCGGATGGAATCTTCCAAGTTCTTGAGTTCCGCCTTGAGTTGGTTACCACTTGGAAAGCAGAACGGTTCTGGTCCAGTTAGTGGAGTGTTCGCTCCTTTCCTAGCTAGATTATTTGCTTTTTCATTGCCTTCTATCCCTTGGTGAGCAGGCACCCAGTGTAGGAGGACTTTGTTTTCTTTGCCTAGTTTATTCAGCTTCTCTATGCATTCTTTGACCAATTTCGAATAGAAAGGGTAAGAAGATTTAAGTACTTGGGTTGCTAGCTGAATGACAAATGATATCCTGATGAAGAAATCAAACATAGAATTGAAATAGCCAGAAACGCTTTTTTCAAAATGAAAACTCTACTTTGCAACCGAGACCTGAATCTGACTACTCGATGGCGAGCTACCAAATGCTATGTACTCTCTACATTGTTATACGGAGTCGATGGATGGACGTTGAAGGCACGGACCATGTCACGCTTGGATTCATTTGAGATGTGGTTATAAAATATCCTGGACCGAACGAATAACAAATCTCGTAGTATTAGAAAGAATGTGTAAGGACCAAGAACTATTGACTACAATAAAACGACGGAAAGCAGCATATTTTGGTCATATTTTTCGAAATAACAAATATAGTTTCCTACAGCTGATCGTTGAGGGAAAGATTGAAGGACGACGAGGCATCGGGCGTAAACGGTTTTCCTGGTTGCGGAATTTGCGCCAGTGGTGCAATTATCCGTTTGGCTTAAGACAGGGAGGAATTCCAATTGACGGTCGCCAACCTCCGATGAGGAGAAGGCACATGAAGAAGAAGATCTCCGAAACTAAGCATTTTAAGAATACAGTTTGGACCACCCTGTATATTAGACATTACCTGATCGACGGTGTTTTTGAAACCCCTCACATGTGACGCCACGTCCTGGGACACTATCTTCGGCCATCCCACCTGGTTGCCACTGTTCGACAGCAAAGGCACAAAAACTCCTTCTACCAGAACGCACAGATCGTCGATGGGTCTACCGGACATATCCCCAAAGGTCAGCACCGAGTTGAAGTTCTCCAAGGTGACCTCTTGCGGACACTTCCGTATGAAGTAGGTGAATTTCTGCTTGATTTGGTTGTTGAACGAGGTGAATGGAGTGAGCAGACCAGTCGCCGGGATGGTCATTAGAAGCATGCGTTGAGTTGGATCGTTGAGGAACTTCAGTATCATTTTCTAGAAAAAAAGATAATTTTTTGTACAGTTTAATAGTACCTTATTAACTAAAATATATACCACTGCGTTAACTAGATTTTAATACTTTTATTTATTAGATTTTTTCTTCGTTCATTGGTTTTTTCATCGTCTACGTTTACATCATTTTTTTTAAATATCCTGTTTTTATATTATTATTCTTATTTATTATATTATTTATTTATATATATTCTTATATTTATATATATATTTCTTTTGTCTATTGTGAAAGTTTTTTTTAGTTCCCTTGGCTGTTCTGTTGTGTGATTTTCCTCTAGTTTCGTAAGTGTGTATTTGTTTTTATTAACTTATTTTTGATTTTGTATAGAAGTAATATATTATGAGACTTTATTAAATATATTTATTTACTTCACGACTATAAATTTTTTATTTTTGAAGATAGAATATTCATTAAAGAAGCAAATTATAGGGTTTTATTACTTATTAGCAAAAATTTCATACACTGTCAAGTGCCTCAAATATTGTTATAAAGTATAATTTCTTTATACCCTATATACCGTACGATCGAGAAAAAACGACGTCAGCGATGGCTATCAAATGAAGATCGCTGTCATTTTATATGTTAAACTAGCGCGTACCAGCGACTTCGTTCGCGTCGAATTAATCATTTGTAATGGTGAGGATAAAGCAAAGCAAGAATTTCCATTAACATACAAACTGGATAAAATTTTCTCACATTTATGTCAGCATGAAAAATAACAATATGGCGATATTATGATATAATTTGGTAATATTTGAGGGGTAGTTTCATCTCGTTGGAATTTGGCTTTCGAAAAATCCGTTTGCCAAAAATAAGCTTTTTACGTCAAGCAGTTTAAGCAGAATCGTGGTTAAGAAATTACTCAACTTTTTGGAACACCCTGTATGATTTTTTAAAAAATGTCAAATTATGTAAAAAAAACAAATAAATTATGCTTGTCCAAGCGTTTTCCCGAAAGACTAACCGTTTTTAAATAACAAATATTGTAATATTTGAGGGGCGTTTTCACCCTCTTGGACAGTCACTTAAGGATTTTACATATTAGTATAGATTATATGGGAATGCCATTGATGTTCATTTCCAAGCCAACTGGACGCCGTTCTTTTTCCGATCATACGGTATTAGAGCACATTTCTTTCTGATGTCCATTATATCATACACACCTTTTTTGTTAATAGTTTTATTTAAATTTGATATAAATATGTTAGGATAGTATGTGTAAATCGAACAGTATGACCAACTACCTATACAGGGTGACAATTTGAAAACGAGCAGTATTTAATATTGCCTCTAGCGATGATGAGTATGAAAATTTGGCAAAACACGTCGATTTACGTTTTTCAACCCTTTGACCCCCAGGGCACCTAAATTTTTAAATAACAACCCCTATTTCTTTTACCATTTTTATGTTTCTTGTAGAATTCTACATAAACTGCATTATTTTTTTAAGAATTTTATAAGCAACACAAAAATGGCAAAAGAAATAGGGGTTGCCATTTAAAATTTTAGGGGTAGGTGCCCTGGGGGTCAAAGGGTTGAAAGTTGAAAGTAACACGACAACAAATGCCTCAAAAATTGTCCCTCTTATAGATATGTAAATTGACGTATTTCGCCAAATTCTCATACCATCATCGGTAGAGGTAATATTAAATAGTGTTCGTTTTCAAATTGTCACCCTGTATGTAATGTAAGTACGACTTACTTTCAGTGCTCAGCAAAAATACTTATTATGTTGTGTGCAGGAAGAATTTTCTATTTATATTACGAGTATTTATCAAAAATTGGATGGATAAGTTGTAATGCATTGCTATTCCAGAGATATTATAATGTTTTTTTTTGTAAAAAAAGCTAGCACTGGACTAAAAAACTATATTATATTTCTAACAAGCTACTTAAACTTTCTACGAATTCCGTACATACACGGCAAATATATTCTCATCTCAACAACCTCGCGAGATATACGATATATATTATAAAGTAAGCGTGTGCTTAGAGTTAAATTTGTGTAAACTTTCTAGACGCAGACACATACGTATATCCACGAAATATAGTCGTAAATTTGATTGAAACCGGTAGTAGGTCAGACGGGCTAGAAAATTTTGTTAGTTATAACTTATAACTCTCTCACATACCGGGTGGTACGTCATCGCTAGAAACATAGGAAATCCCTAGGAAAATCCCATGCAAATTTTGAACTCTCCAAATAGTGTCTGCCCTGTTGGCTTTACAGGGACGTCGTAATAATTATTTTTATACAAGACGATAAAATAGTATTTTATCGTCGACCGGGAAAAGATTAATTCACGAGCGATGAAATTGCGAGTGAATTAATTTCGGGAGACGACAATGCAATTTTATCGTCGTGTATGAAACAATATTTTTTTCCACGGCGAGTTACCTACGATTAAAAAATATTCAGAAATTAGTTATTCAAGGAATTTATTACGAGTAGAAAAACTATTGTGCTGGGTTGGCGTTGGTATCTATGTAATTTCACAAATAAATAAAACTGTCTCTTTAGTTGTCAGTTTTGAGTCAATATTTTTTAATTCTCTTTCGCGTCGATTGCTGATTGAATTGGAGCCAGAATTTTTTTTTCCATATCAAGGGGCCGTCCTCTGCCGGAAACACTGCGACCTGTGAGACCTATTGTGTTTGTCCCCCTTCTATATCTGCACCCATTCTCCTATCCCTGTGCCCTGCACTAGCTTATGCAGGTCCTTGATAGGATGGGAGCATAGTTCCTCCGGTTCTAGCCTAGCGTTCCCAAATAAAGACTGTCACTTGCGATCCAGAGCCTCGCAATGACATATTATGTGCTCCGCTGTTTCAGGATCTTTATCGCAGAGTCTACAACAAAGACTTCCTTGATACAGGTTGAGCTTGTTCAGATAACACTTGACAGCCATGTGTCCTGTCAAGAGGCCTGTTGTAATCCGCACTTTATTCCTGCTAAGCATTAGCAGTTCTTTTGCGGTTTTAGAGCTAGGTCCTTCGATAAAAGCCTTGATGTGCCTGTGCCCTTGTCTGTTTCTCCAGTGGACATTGTGCTTTTCCTTGATCCAGAGTTTTAGTGCACTACGGGCCATACATTTGGGTATTCCCAGTACTGGCTCTGGACCAAGATAGGATGCCGATGATCCCTGCCTAGCTAGCTCATCGGCTTTTTCGTTGCCTTGGATGCCGCTGTGGCCCGGCACCCAGAATAATTTAATTCTGTTCCTTCGTGCCAGAGCTCCCAGTTCGCCCAGGCATTCCCAGACGAGTCTCGACGATACCTTTGGGTTCACAAGCGCCCCAAGTGCCGCCTGACTGTCTGAGCATATATTGATGAGCTTACCTGAATAAGCTCTTCTATTTTTTTCTCTTGCACATTGTAGAATGGCGAAGATTTCTGCCTGGAATACGGTTGAGTGTTTACCCAAGGAAAAGGATAAGCTTGGTCTTTCCCCAAATACTCCAGCTCCTGTTCCTTCAGCGGTCTTTGACCCGTCTGTATACCAGGTTAGTCCATCCTGAAGGAATGTTATATCTGTCCACATTCCTCGATCTATTGTCACCTCGAATGGTTTGTGGTAGTGATAAAGAGGTGTCATTTGGTCCGATCTCATTTGGAGTAGAGATCCTCCGATAGAATCTCCCATCTTTAAGTGTCCTGTTCCTGTCCTATTTCCCGGAGACAAGACACTTTGTTGTCGATCTCTATCTCTATGTGAGACTCTTCCCATTCTTGCCTCCGCCTGGATCACTATGTGAAGAGGCGGAAGGTCCAGAAGCGCCTCCATTGATGCAGTGGGCGTTGATTTCATTGCCCCTGTTATGCTCAGACAAGCAAGTCTTTGCGCCTTACTTACCTGAGCCTTGTTGTTTGTTGCAGTACCTTAGGCCACCATAGCAAGGATGCATATGTTACTGAAGGCCTCACCACTCCAGTGAACAGCCAGTGCACCATCTGTGGTCTGAGGCCCCAGATTTTTCCATGAAGTCGTCTGACTACCGCTAGTGTAGTCACCGCCCTCCTTGTGACATTTTCCAAATGTCGGTTCCAGGTTAGTTTGGTATCCAGCATGATTCCTAGATACTTGACCTCCCCCGAGAGAGGAATCTCATCACCGCAGAGTCTTAGAGGTCCTAGTCCCTCCAAAATTCTCCGTTTGGTGAAGGGGACGGTCGGTGGGTTATTACGGTCTTTGTAGGACTGATATTTAGTCCCTCCCGTGTCACCCATGATTCCACAATCTTCAGGGCCCTTTGCATTCGCTCCCTTACTGTTGTGTTAAACTTACCTCTGACTAACACGACCAAATCGCCTGCGTATCCCAGAGTGCTGAAACCAGCCCTGTTGAGACTATCAAGCAGTCCGTCCATAACGAGATTGCACAGCAGAGGGGAGAGAACTCCACACTGCGGGCATCCTCCCGCCACCCGGACTGCAACAGTCTCATTTAGTAGGGTGGTATATGCCACTCGACTTTTGAGCATGCAGTCTATCCACCTGCAGCAGGTCTCCTCTAATCCGAGGTTCCTTGTAGCTCTCGTCAGTGACGGAAATGAGGTGTTATCAAACGCCCCTTCTATGTCGAGGAATGCCCCTAAAAGCACTTCTCTTGTTTCGAACGTCGACTCCACTTTGCTTACTAGCTGATGGAGTGCGGATTCGGTTGATCGTCCTGCTGTGTAGGCATGCTGGTCTTGGTGAAATGGTCTTTTTCCCATTACTTCATCCCGAACATACCTGTCCATTAGTTTCTCAAGAGCCTTTAGTACAAACGACATAAGACTGATAGGCCTAAAGGCCTTCGCTGTAGAATAGTCCAGACGCCCATTCTTGGGTATAAAAGCTACCCTGGTCAGCCTCCAAATTCTCGGTATATATCCTAAGGCCAGACTAGCTCTTAGTAGTGTGCAAAGTTTACTCGTCAGTAGGTCTGGTCCTTGCTGGAGCATTATTGGACAAATACCGTCCGGTCCCGGTGATTTGTATGGCTCAAATGAGCTCATAGCCCATTTTATCTTTGATTGGTCAATCACCCTTTTTGAAACCTGCCAGTCTTCCCTTGAGGCTCTTCTCGTAAAGTTCTCAAGTCCACTACTCTTCCAGGTTTCTGGGGATTGCTCCAAGGCTGTTGATCTGGGAAAGTGTACCCGAAAGAGTTCGGTCAGCGTTTCTTTCCCAGTGGATGTGTATTCTCCTCCACTGGTTACAAGAGGGTTAATTGAGGTCTGAGAGTCCTTAGAGCGTATTTTTTGAAGTCTGGTACATTCTGAGGTACTATCAATGCCCTCTCAGTACCTCCTCCAAGATAATCTCTTTGCTCTCTTCAGTTCCTTGTTATATTCGGTCAAAGAGGTCTTATATTTTCCCAATCGCCGGATCTTTTTGCCCTATTCCAGTTTTTCCTTACCTGCCTTCTCCTTGCCTCTAGCTGGACGGTCCACCAGGGTGTTGCCCGTTTGTGGCTTCTGACAGTCTGGGGGCAGTTTTCCTCAAAAGAAGAGATGATCGCGTCAGTCAATTGCTCCGCGACCAGTTCCACCTCAGTCGCATTCCTTACCATTGATTTGATACTCGTCAGTTTGCTAGTTAGGTCTGCCCCAAAGGCTTCCCAATTTGCATGCCGAGGATCACGGTAAGTTTCTACGGTCCTTTGTATTCCCGAGATTTCAAACCTTATGTGTTTGTGGTCCGAGCAACTCTCCTCCTCTGACACACTCCAGTTTTTTATGAAATTGCTAACAAAAGTGGTGGCTAATGTTGGATCTATAACTGCCTGCCTTTGTGTGGTCACAAAAGTAGGCCTGTTACCTTTATTCATTACGTCTAAATTATTTGCCATAAAGAATTGCAGCAGAGCTTCGCCTCTAGGGTTTGTGTCTGTGCTTCCCCAGAGAGTGTGGTGCACATTTGCGTCCGAGCCAATGATCAACTGAGATCCATTTCCTCTACAGTACCTCACTAGCTCTTCCACAGTCTCTGGTGGTGGTGGATCAGGGTCATCGAAAGGAAGATAAGCCGATCCGGAGCCAGAAATGGTTCAAAATGAAATAAGTAAATTACCAACAGATATTTAGGCTGAGGCGACAAACTTCCATTTAAATCCCGAATAACTTATGAAAAGGAATACAAAAATTTTCAAAAATGGAAGCAGGATTGCAGAATAAAGTTTTAAATCTATCCTCGTTGTTAAAGTATCATTTAATCTACTCTTGCGGTTAAAGTACTATTTTATCTACTATTTTTGATAGATATAAGGCAATTTTAGCAGTTGGTATGTACACAGCGAGTGGATGGAAAAAATGATAAGGTTAAAAGCCAATATTTCCATGGGATTTCCTATGTTTCCAACGACGCGACGATGCTACCACCCTGTATACCTACTAAGAGTTCAGTGTGTTGCAAAATATTAATCGCCTATGCACGCCGAATTTTCCGAATTCCGCTTTTGGAGAGGACTTTTATTGCCTGGATACGCGTTCATCCTGGATATATTGTTATGGCGTCTTTTTCCCAGACGCTTAGAAGACAAACAGTGCCTTTTATACGAGGATATATGGGATGCTTGGATGGGGCTTAAGATACAGTAACGCGGTGGTGTATTAAAATGTTTCTTGTTTGTAGGAAAATATTTGTTTACCATACAAGACGTGCTTCCGGAATTAAGTTTTCGAGTCGATGGTTTTTATTTCTGTTAAACGGTTGTTTTTAAGGTTTTTCTGTTATATAGAATCTGATAAATTAGTATTATTAAATAGAACCTTTTAATTTTACATCTATTGAAAAAAGAATATACAGGGTGTACCGTTAAAAAAAACGAAATAAAAATTATTTTATATTTTAGAAAGTTTGGCGTAGAATTGCCACTTTTTGCAAATATTTTTTTTTCTCTTGATCTTCTTCTCTCGGGCTATGACAATCATATTTTCTTGTACAGAATTGAGCGCTCTACAGAAAAAATCTCTTATAATTTTTCGATAAACCTACTCCTTCAAATGTTATTCCTACCATTTAAGTATAGCTGATTTATTTTAATAAAGTATGTCTATTAAAATAAATCAACTATACTTAAAAATATCAGCTTAAATAGTTTAAACTTCATTAGCCTTGAAGATTTCTTAATTCCCAACCTTAGCATCATCAGAATTAAATATTTTTACAGTAATAGATTGAATCTTTCAAAAATAATGATAATTTTGTCAAAAAAGTTGAAGAATTTAACAATTTACCGAGTGGTTAACTTTAACCGTGAATAACTTTTGAAGGAGTAGGTTTATCGAAAAATTGTGAAAGATCTTTTTTGTAGAGAGTTCAATTCTGTATAATAATATGTAATTATTGTGGTTCCAAAAAGACAAAATCAAGAGAAAAAAAAAGTGGCGAATTCCTATGTAATTTAAATGGGATGAATCGTCTTTGGGGCAAGGTTTATTGTGAATATTAAGGGTTTACAATGGTCTGTTATTGTTTTTTAGAGAATAAACTAAAAATTTAGAGAGCGTCGTGAAAGAAATTATCAATTTGGTAAATAACGAACACCCTAGTGTGCACCCTCGATCACCTAGCCTACCCACCAAATTTGATCGCGAAATATTCAACATATTTAACATATCCAAATTATTCCTTCTTTATCACGTCAGGTAATTTTTCTCTCATAAATTCTAAGTCTAAAAATCTAATAAAAAGTCATATCGAATGCACCAAGATGCTCTCTATAGACCGTCAGCGTGCTTACTAGAAGCAATTTATCATATTCAGTAGCTGCTGGGGCATACTTCAGTGAGCTAAACAAGGCCGCGAGCTCCATTTTTGTCTTCTTATTTAATAAACGAAGACGTATCGAAAAATAACAACATCGAAATTTTAACGCTGTTATTTCGAGAAAGCTTTCACCTGTTTTTTTTTGGTTCTTTATTTTATTATGATGAGATTTAATCTATTTTGTTAGGATAAAAAAAATAACATGAAATAGAAAAACATACTTTTTTCCATAGCAACTGTTAAAATTGCCTTATATATATCAAAAATAGTAGATAAAATAGAACTTTAACAGCGAGGATAGGTTAAAAACTTATTTTCTTCTCGCACGTTTTTTAATTGCTTCAATTTTTGAAAATGTTTGTTTTCCTTTTCGTAAGTTATTCGGGATTTAAATGGCAGTAGTTTGGATATGGCGTTTTTCGCCTCAGCCAGAATATCTGTTGGTAATTTACTTATTTCGTTTTGAGCCATTTCTGGCTCCAACTCAATCAGCAATCGACACGAAAGGGAATTAAAAAATATTGACTCAAAACTGACAACTAAAGAGACAGCTTTATTTATTTGTCAAATTACATAGAAACCAACGCCAACCCAGCACAATATTTTTTTCTACTCGTAATAAATTCCTTGCAATAAATAATAATTGCATCGTTAAATGAAACCGAACGCATCGAAATTAATTAAATCGAATTATTTAAGTGATATTTTCAAAAGTCAATAACTTGGAAACGGTTGGTTTGAGGTACATTGTGTGTATTTTGATTCTTGCTTGGAATTGAAGGAAGAACCGAAATATGCAATAATATATAGGGTGTTCCATTTAAAAAAATAAAACTTTGATGTGCCACGACTTTATGACCAACCCTGTATACCTAAATTTATTGTCCGCTAATAGATATTTAAAATCCCTATAACTTTTATATTTAACTTGTTGCGGTACATCTTGTATTTTACCTAATAATCGACCGTTCCCATACATCTCAGCTACCCTGTATATTGAGTCACATAACTCAGAACACCCTGTAGTTTTAAAGTAAATAACTTTAAAAAACAACCTTCATATATTATGTTTTAAACAAAATTCTTCGAACTTTAGGAAACATTCAAATAAAGTTTGGTTTTGCAAGGGGACTCACCTTGTTCTCATCAATAGCAATCATCTTATTCCACTTTTCCTGTTTCATCCTATAGGATTTCGTCAAATAACCCGAAATAAACTCCAATCTCTCGTCTTCTCCCTCCCCACCTATCTCGTCTTTCTTCTTTTCTTCGCCCATTTAACAGCCTTTTTTCTCCACACAGCTTACATAGTTCCTACGAACGTACGATACATTGATGCGTAAACGTCAAAAAGCTAGAATGTCATTGTGAACGAAAACAGCGTTTGGCAGCCGGTGTAAATAAGTGCTAGGCAACGGCCGAATGGGCATAGTGTTCGAACTGGTCGATACAAGGTGTGAATTGAGTAGGAAATAGCCCATGGTGAAATATAGTATGGGTTGGAAACGGGTGGGTTTACAGCGGAGGAAGTTGAGATAATAAAATTGCAATTTTTTTTTGCTCTAGTCCAAAAAAAATTATAGAAGATCCATGTTGAAGAGTGTAGAATGTAGGGAACCTTACAGATATATTGTGTCCCCTTTTCTTGAGTTATAACTCATTACACAGTCTCGGGGCTTTAACAAAAGCCAGTATTTGAGACAGGGCTGCCATCCAGAGTAAGAGGACTTTATTTTCTTTGCATAATTTGTTCAGCTTCTCTAATGAGTAGAATTACAAAGGTGAAGCTTGTCACATGACTGTCCTGCTTTTTTATGAAAATAAAGATACAAATGAACCTACAAATGAAAGGATCAGGGTAATTATAGGCATAAAAGAAGATAAAAGTAAATCAACTTAAATCGTACGGGCACGTCTAAAGAATTACCAAGAAAAAACTACCAAAACAAATTCTGAATTGGACACCCACTGGTAGGCGCAAACGGGAAAGGGCTAGAAAAATTTGGATGAAATAGATCGAGAAATAGAAGACAGACAACTAGATGAAAACATCTGACAATATAAGCAACAATGGAGACTAGAAATCGGAAGACATCGTAGAACGTGATAACACCAATAAATTGCTACGTACATATTTGTCCTAGCCCTCTTAGTTTTTGAAATACAGGGCGAAATTAAAAATTGTTGCATTTTTCAGACACCCCAAGGTAAAAACTGTTTTCTATAGAGTTTTTCACGTAGAAATCAGTGGTGTAAATAGTTTTCCGTTGGAAGTTGCCATTCTTGAAATATGACCCAAACTTATGTTTTTTTTTTAATTGTATATCCGGTATATTATTTTTACTATATTATTTGGCTTGTTATGAGCTTTCTAGAAATATAGTAGACTCATTAGTAGACTGTTCCTACTTTTATAACAAGATAAAAAATGCATTAATTTGACAGAGGGAAATAAATTAGTCATGGCCGGAACAGCGATTTTTTAATAACAGGTATACGCTGTTCCAGTTGCAAAAGATACCTGTTCCAAGAAACCTGTTCCAGTTCCAAACTGTTCCAAAACGAAAATTAATCCTTACTTGCGTCATTCTGATTCGGTTGCTATTTCTCTTTTTAAATTTATGTAAAAGAATATTTTTTGCTTAAATAATGAGAACTACTGGGGATTTTTCTGTTTTCTCTAAATTTAATCTACTATCTGTGTTGCTATATTACCAAGATATAATGTTTTTTAACTAAAAATTACAAAAAACTATCAAATTTTCGAAAAATATAAACTTTTCAAAAACATGTTTTCTCGAAAAAAACTTACGAGAATCGAAATATATAACCCCTAAAAATATGTGCACTTATTTAAGACCCACCCTGTATAAGCACTAATGAATAAATGCAGATTTATAATTTTGTTATATACTTAAAGAGTAAATTCTTGGAAGAGTTTAATTTTTTTTAATATCTACTATATTTATAATACAAAACAATAACCGACTGTTCTTAAACTGTATTTTTCAAAAAAACTATAATGCGATAATTTTATTGCATTTGGCAACATCGCCAGCATTTTTTTATAATAAAAAATGTTCCTTACCTATTCTGTTTCTGTTTACATTAAAAAAATAAAATATTTAAAAAAAATTATTATAAATTTAAAATTTATAATAAGAATTTAGTTGAATTTTAATTAAATATTTTAAATAACGGCAACAGCCACACTTGTTTTTTACGCCCCTGTATCGCGTCCGCTAGACTTGATTATCAACTCAAACCAGTTCTTTTTACTTAACTGTTTCAAACAGTTCCAAGTTCCTAACTGTTCCAAGCCCTAAACTGTTCCAGGTCGCAAACTGTTCCAAGTCTCAAACAGTTCCAAGTCCCTTTTTTTGACAGGCAGTTTATTTCCTCCAGACATTTTAAATATATTTTTTCTCAAAAACGGTTAATGTTAGGTATAGAGTGTTTGATATCAAAATTCATAAAATTTTGCAGAGAATTTAAGTATGTAGTAAAAAATGGAAAATTAATTAAAATAAGAAAGTTGTTGTCGATTTCCAGCATTTCTGGAAGTGCCGCCATATTGAAAATATTTGTAATCAATACATCGTTGTGAAACAGTGATGTGCAAAAAATCTCCGATCTAGATATTGTAGTTCTCTAGAAACTTCTAATGCACGCTCAGCCTGGGACACCCTGTATATGTTATTAATAATTGGTATATGATAAAATTAAATGACAAAGATCGAAATTAAAAAAAATGATCTTCTTAATTATTAGTATTATTACTTTTTCTTAGTCATTATAAAAACCGTTAGAATTAAATCTATTCCGTCTAAATGAGTTGTCGAGTATCATTAGAAGTTGGAATTGACGCCTGGACAAAAAAGCTGTTACTTTTTTGCTACACTGCCTATATCTATCCTGACTAGTCTAAAAAGAAAATCTGTCATCAAGATTGAAAGGTTGTTCTTCTTCGAGAAAGAAAAAAATATAAATTCGTTCGAAGTGATCAGCCAGAGCGTTTTTTTTGTGACGCCTCTTCAGGATTTCTCAGTTATTTTTTTGGTTCTAATTTGTCTTCAGAGATCGAATGTCAATTATTCAATAGACCAAAAAAAAGATAGACAAATCGGTACGCTTTATAAGAGTCCATTTGACTAGTCCAAAAAAGCAGAAAAATAAGCGATCGGAATTTAACGTTTTAGGTAAAACTGGCTAGGTATTTTTATATAACAGATTATTTCCTTTATATTATTATTTATATTATTAACAGATTATTTTCTATGTCCTTTACGTTCAAGTCGATGTTTTCGGTTGTTAGTTTCGATAGAGGGTCTTTTTAACAGGAAGTAATAAACCAAACAACTTTCAAACGTGAATATACCACTTATACGAGTTATATCAACTTTTTCTGGCTATTAACTCTATTACAAAATACCAAATCGACTAAAATGAAGAAAATATATACCTAGGGCATCAAAATTAAGCACTGAGTCGTAAAATAGCTACTTTTGCACGAACATTAATTTCAAGGGACGTAAATCAACCTTTGCTAGCCTCAACATGAATCACACACGTCCTCAATCGAATACCGCATATCCAAACCACGAAACTTACGTTAAAATCGGATTTGGAATGGCGATAACCACGTTCGGGGTGCTATTGATGCACGCACCAACCATAAACGTTCGAAATTGTAGATAGTATGTTTAGATTGGACTAATGAATGATAAACCAGAATTTCAACGAGAAAAAAAATATCCTATGTGGAAGAAAATGCTTATATCAGTAGTCGTCCACAGCATTTTGTTTTTTGATTCATGTCAATACATGCTTTGTTTAATTTTTAAGAGCAAAATGAAGTTTTCATTTTGTCTCTTTACCGTAGTTTACCGGTCTGGTTCGTCTGGTTTTGCAACGGAATACAGCCTTAGTTAAATCCCTGTTTAATCATCTCATAACTGAGATTGGTATTGGTGGGACTAATCACAGTCCTGAAAACAGCTGCTTGGAACCATACCTTGGAACACGTCTGTTGAGGTACACCGCATAGTTGCCAGGTATAGGGAATATTCACTAGATCTAGAGAAAGTCAATGTTGTGAAGGGAAAAATTAAGAAAAATGGTGTATAGGAAAATTTGAAGAGATACATAAATTTCAGAACAGATATTTTTACAAAAAAGATATAGTAAAAATTGCATTTAAAATTTCACCGTTTTTGAGATTCTTTATAATATCATAGTATAAGGAAACTAGTAGCTTTACTCCTTGACAAATCCTTTGTTCTTTTTCTGTCACTTTATATGATCTTGTTCTCGCGTCCCGTGGCCACTGACGTAGCTGTATAGTCGTGGTCTATAACTAGGCAAAGTATAGTCGTGGCATCGCCATAGTTTCACAAAGATGTATTTAGGAAAATATCAGTTCACAATAAAATAAAATAAAAAAAAATCGAGTAAAAATTTACTGGAAAACAAACAATTCTTCTGTATCTGAAAATCTTCTGATTGGAAGAAATGCGGTAAAAATATATAATGGCATATTTTTATATTATTGGATAACTAATACATTGAACAACCACATTGTACTAAATAATAAAATAACATATTTAAACTTCAATCATTTTATTGTTAATAAACATTAAAGAAGTTTCAAAAGAAAAAAGAAGCAAGAACAATGAGAAATAGCATCACTACTTTCTCCTGTAATAAAATAATAATTTTTTAGTTATGTTACCGGGTCCCGAAGGTACCGAAAGAACCGGGAATTAATAATTTCGTGTCCAGGTTCTTTAATATCTCAAAAGAACAGGGAATTTCCGCTTCTGAACCCTAGTTACCGTATTATCAAGAAATTATGTTTTTTAACTAAAAATTAAAAAAAAATTGCGCAGAAAAATCCTAATATATATTTGAGGATTAAATTAAAATTTGCACTTTAAGACTCACCCTGTATAGGGCGATTCACGGTTATGGTACGTTATAGCGTTTCCAGAACCGGAGCTGCTTTTCGGAACCGGTAATTTCGGTACCATGCCTCTAAGGAACCGGGATTTCCAGTTTTTTTTTCGGTACTAGCAAATTTTTGTTCAATGATGGTGCAGTTCGTTAAACAGCAAGCAAGGGATGGTTGTCAAAAGTAAAATCGATAAAAAATTGAGGTTTAAATAATAATAACTCAAAGCACAATTTTGTGAATTATCACTACAACCAATAGCAGCACACAGTAAGGCAGTCATTTTTTGTCAATCCGTCTCTGTCCTGGGACGCAACGCTCGAACCTCGCAGGTCGACGGACGGAACTCAACTGAAACGCTCTGCAATCTGCCGATATTCGACAGATTGTAAAAACTAAAAAAAAATTGCGCAGAAAAATCC